AACAGATGCTGAAGAGAAAGTGCCGGCATAAATCTGCCTTTAAACCATGTTTTCAGTCTGTGGAAGCCACATATTTAGATGCAAGCTGCTTTTCCAATGCCCCTTCTGCCTACAATGGAAGTAAAATAAGCTGTCTCCAAGAGGCTCTGTTCAAGTCGCTCCCTTTCCAACAACTGCAGGCCTCTCTTTAAACATTCTGCTTATTCTTTGGTTAATGGCTTAGAAGAGTCAGCACTCCCTTTGCACCTCAATGATTCAAATAAATTTAGGTCAGAGGGTGATCCTATCCAAAGATAACAAGAGGCATCACATCAGAGACACTCAGCAACCACATTACAGGGTCTATTACTATTACTGTTCCTTTAAGGTAGAAATAACATGGTGCTGAAGTCTACACTGTCATTTGTGAATTCATTCATTCATTCATTCATTCATTCATTATTCATTCAAATGTTTTCTAAGTCCCTATTAAAAATCATGTAGTGCAGGCTCAGTGGCTAAGAGTGCTTGTTCTTTCAGAGGACTCAGGTTCAGGTCCCTGAACACACACAGTGGATACACGAGACTCCAAACAAACAAACGAATGAATGAATGCATGTATGGCTCAAAGTACCATAGGGACAAGCAGAAAGTTGGAAACAGTGAAGAATATTATTTGAATCTCAATAAGTTCAGAGAAAGGCTGGGTGTTGTGTGTGTGCTTCTAATCCCAGAACTCAGGAGGCAGAGGCAACCTTCTGTGAGTTGCAGGCCAGCCAGGTCTACATTGTGAGTTCCAGGCAAGCCAGAACTTCAAAGTGAGGTCCATTAAAAAAAAAAGTTCAGAGAGAAGATGGTGCTCAAGTCCCCAGAGGATACAGCATGATGGGGGGAGGGGTTACCTAGACAATAGGCTATCCTGACAGAAAAGAATTCCTTGAGAGGTTATGGAAAGTAAAGTCAGGGCAGTAATTTTTTTTTCTTCCATATGAGATCATGGCTGAGTCTCACAGGATTCAGGAACTCCTTGAAACTGTATGTAGTATGTGCATATACAAACGGATGATTTCTGGGTATGCAGAGCTCTGCTTTCGTTCTAGTTTCAAAGATAAAGAACTGTCTCACTAGGATTTGATCTCCAAACTTCATTTTCTGTCTTCATCAGAGATGAGTTTCAGGTAAGCTTTTGTTCAGAGACTGGTATTGACAGATCGGAAGAGAGTTTCCAAACTTTCTACATCTTGGGGGTGGGGGATGATGGTTGCTAAAAAGAAAGGGCAAAGCAGACACACAGGACTTGTTCCTTCTTCTACATTCCAATTGAAATGAGCTCAGACATCCTCCTACTCAGATACCATGGCAACAGCCATTGTACAAATGGGTGGCAGCAGGGAGTGGGTCAGGGCTTGGATATGGAAAGCAGGAAAAGGTACCAAGTGTGGTTGAGTTCCTAGCTAATACAGTTGGTCTTTTCTCTCCAGCATCTACTTTTTTGGGAATTCATTTCAGGAATTTTGGAGACTTCTGACAATTTCCCCCAAAACAAAGAGCAATCCCAGAAATAAAAATCAGCACTCAAGAAGTACAATGACACTGAACACCCACACTGCAAACACAGAAGGACCCTAACTGAGAGTCTTCTATAAGTGTAAGGGTTTCTGGCTGTTCAGCCTAACCTTACGTGCCTTACACTCTTACTTATAAATAAGTTTCATTTATAATTCACAACACATATATGGGCAAGCATTTTCTACATTGGTATATTTGCCATGATGAGTTTCACACACCTCCCTCAAATCCATAAATCTAGAAGGCAAAGAGAGAACGAAAACATGGGCATTCCAACATATGAGGGGTAGTGCCAGCCAAGGAGTGGGTGGATCCAACACAGCCACACTTGTACTCACTGAATGCAATATTATACATTATTATGGGCTCTACTGCACTGGATGTAGGATTGTATTTTGCAGCTTTCCTTAACACCTGCTGCTACTCATCTCACTGTGTCCTCCATGTATGAACACACAGAACCACAGTTATAGGAGGCTCAGAGGGTAAAGGCACTTGCCACCAAGCCTGACAACTTGAGTTCTATCCCTGGGTCCCTTGGGGTGGAAAGTGATAACCGATTCCAGTAAGTTGTTCTTTTATCTTCACAAGCATGGGTAATGTGCAGCAATAATAAATAACAGATGAGTGTGACTTTTACAAAAGAAAGAAAGGAAGCTAGCCTCACATAGCAGAAGCCTCTGACATAAACATCTACGCCTTAGGAAACTAACAGGCATCTGGGCCTCACTAATGATTTCTCCTGCACACCTCCCCTTAATTCAGAGGACCGCAGAATATGAACTAAGACAACAAGTGATCACAGAGCTGATCATGACAAAAGTTCTCAAAGACATGAGGCCAATCAACCAACACAGGATAAAGAATTGTCTTTTCTTCATAAGTTACTAACTAGACTGGCAAAATGCTAAGAGTCTGCCAGGTATAGTTGTATATTTGGGCAATGCCAGCACTTGGGAGGCAGAGACAGGCAATGATGGACCAGCCTGACTCCATCTTAAAAGATTGGAAGCCATCTTTTAACAAAGTCAAAATAAGTTCATTCCTATTTTCTGCAAAACTTAAATCTGACCAGGTCTTGACCCATTTTCTGGAATTTGACATGTTTCACAGCTTATACCCTAATAAAATAAGATGCCCTCTCAAAAAAGTTTGAGATGTTCAGCCAAGTTCTTACATAACCAAAAATTCACCCAACCCTTGGAAATCCCCTAGTCTTACAGGTTGGGGGGGGGCTATAAATCCCACCTCCTATGTTTGATGCTGTTTTTCAAATCCCACTTTAGGGAGACAGCCCTGTCTGATGGAAAATAAAGCTTGCTTAATTCTACTACAAGAATTTGGGTAATGGTTTTTACCCTCATCTGGCAGAATTAACAACAGATCTCTGAGTTCAAGACCAGCCTTGTCTACAAAGCAAGTTTCAGGATAGCCCAGACTACACAGAGATACCGTCTTGAGAAACTAATTGAATAAATAAAAGAATGAATAAATAAATAAAAAGGTGACAGGAAATATGAAATGGAAGTAGGAGAACAATCGGAAGCCTGAGATCCGAGAGACCTGAGGAAAACAGACCAAGGCAGAGTAGAGAGCCGTGTAACACACACTGACACGGGACAATGAGTGAGAGCACGGGACTGAGGGGGCAGAGAGAAAGAGGCCAGGCCACAGAACTGCTAAACCCTTCATGTGGCATCATCTCGGCTGCAGATACTAGCCACGGGCATTGTTCTGCATCCTACAACTGCACCAAATACACACATTTGCACTGCTTTGCATTTTCTTTTACATGCTAGGCTTTTGGAGCTCTATAATTATATTATCTATATAAAACAATACAAGTACTTTCTGCTATGAAAAAAGAATTATAGTCAGCTAACTTGACAGGTATGGGTGGCACATGCCTATTATTAAGTCTAGCATTCGGGAGGCTGAGGCAGAAAGACTGCCTTGAGTTCAAGGACATAAAACCCAATCTCAAACAACACGCACGCACGCACGCATGCTCATAGAGATAACTTAATTAACTTCAGTCAGTTCACTGTCTTTCAGTTCCTTCTGACATGCCTCCATTTCAAACTCTCATAACTACTCTTCTCTCCTAAAATTCCAACTAAAATTGCCACTGTTGCCCCATCAGTGTGACTCTCTTACCCTCCCATTTACATCACACGCAGTAACTGCTGAAAAACTTGCTAATCCATTAATTAAAGATCTCTGCTTCCCATTATGGAGGACTAAATTTAGAAAGCCAAATTAAGCCGGGAGGAAACCATGTGTCACAACAAGGGAGATGAACTCCATGGAAGGAGGCTGGGCTCCTGGCCTGTTTCTTACAAAGCCCTGCCTGACACTAACACTCTCTTCTATTCAGAACGCAGAGGAACACCCCATGGGTGGGGCAGCCACTCATCTGTAATCATCTGGAGAAAACTATTATAGCCTCCGGTCACAAAAGCCACAGGACCTATCAGCAAACAACTGCCTCAAGATCTTTGCTTTCCCTAAACCTCCAGTTTCATCACACAAAAGAAAGGGTGGCAAGCTAACATTAATTGTACCCTTAGAGAAGAGACACTTCCCACATGCAGGGGTGGCAGTGACTTTACTGGGTTACCAAATAGATATAAAGATAAAAGTAAACATTATAATTTTCTGTTTTGTCTCTGGCACAGGGGGAGTGGTGCCATCTACATAGTCTGTAAACAGTAATAACCCAGATGTAACAAAAGAACAGGGTTCCCCCATCTCTCCGCCCCCATCCCCACCCCATCCTCATGCCATTCTCCCTGAGATTACTCATCTTAAGGAAACACACAGCAGCGTCCCTATAGTCCATATGCTGCTACCAAATGGAAGTGGATAAGAATCCAAGTTTACACTGATTCCTCCTCTTTGCTACACAAAGCCAGAATCTTTGAGAGTCAAGACATTTTTGTTTGGTTGGTTTTGTTTTTTAAGACAGGGCCTTACTACACATCACTATGTATCCCAGGCTGGTCTTGCACTCACTAAGATCTACTTGCTTCTCCCTCTAATGCTGGGATTATGAGGTTTGTACCATTATGCCTGGCTAACAAATTATATCCTCTTCTGTGACTGTTTTCCTCCTTCCTCAGTGCTAGAGATCAGATCCAAAGTCTTATGCTTGCTAGGTAATTATTACCAAGCTACACCATTAGCCCTGGAACTCAAGAAACCATCATTTGTTTCAAAAGGCTGACAAAAAAAAAAATTACAGAGAACAAGAAGGAACAGAAAAGAGTGAACCATATAGCATGCTCAAGTCTAGATTCAAACAAGACTGAAATGTTAAAAATAAAGAATGTAAGTGGAAATAGAATCATTCTAACGAACTGCAAGAATAAAAGACTGGTAACAGTCTGGGCACAAGCCTCGGCGCTCATCCGAAGCACAAAGGGAGAGAACAAGTCAAGGAGCAGCATTACCTGACCAGAGCTCCCGCCAGGTATAGTGCAGGCGAACTCTACACTTCTTCTGGTAACACAGCAGTTTATGCACAACCTGGACACACCGCCTGCAATAAAAAAAGAAAACACCACTGAGCCTCAAGTCCTGACAGCTCACCAGTACTTTTCCTTTAGGGAGGCAGCTTTGCTAGGGTCACTAAGCCTGAAGGCAAATACATACACATACAAAAAACAAACAAAAAAACAGATAATCCTGTCAAATTTTCTAGTCTGTCTCTCAAAACCCCACTCTCCCCCCAACCCTCCTCGACAATTTGTGCTACCCATGGGGCTACAAGCACTCAGAGGTCTACAATGAGGCACCATGGCTCTTTCCCTTGAGTATCCTTCCTTCCAGAGAGGAAAGATACAGTGACAGCAAGCATAGCATGAGTCTGGGCATTGTGGCAAATTGCCACTTTCCACACAGGCCTGGTAACCACATTCCATCCCTGAATCCATGAAAAGAAGCATGGACACAATGTCACACATCTGTAATCTCAACACTCCTACAGCAAGTTGCTATGAGATGAAGACAGAAAGCCTGAAGTTCACAGTATGGTAGAAACAAGAGAGATTCTGCCTCAACAAAATAGGAGAAGCAACTCCCTAAAATTGTCTGATTTTCATTATTTCACTGTAACACATACATACTCACATAAAATAGTTAGCAATCACAGAGAAATATAAAGTAACACATACATCAATCCTACAAAAAAGATAATCTAACCTATACTGAGACTGCCTACCAAGTGATACAAATTCCAAATAAACCATTCTTCCCAGTTTCCAAATCATTTCCTTCTTTTCTTTTGTGTGTGTGTGTGTGTGTGTGTGTGTGTGTGTATAACATCCCTGGGTTGTCCTGGAACTAGATTTGTAGACCAGACTGACCTCAAACTCACAGAGATCCACCTGCCTCATGAGTGTTGGGATTACAGGTGTATGCCACCACTGCCTGGCTTCATTTCCTTATTTTTTTAGAAATGGTGACATGATCTCATTTGATGTAGTTGTTTCACCTTTAATCACAGTGGCTGCCCTTGAAGTTGCTGGAAGCCCTGCCACTCAGGCTGTCGCCTGGGGGGAATTCTGCTCCCCCAGACAATGACTCTGTTGCAGCCACTAAAGATAGTTTTAACTAAATCTCTATTGTTCTAATAAAGGACTAGGGTGAAAACCTGAAAGCTCAGAGAGTTAGAGTAGCAACTGGCTAAACTCTCTCTCTTTACTGGAGTCCAGGAAACCGCTCTCCTTCCACACCTCCCTGTTACTGCCTGTCAACTAGCTGCTAAACCCATCTCTAGCTCAGGTTAATTTTATTTAATTAATGCAAATACAACACATCTTTATATAGTTAAACAAATGCAGCATAAACAAATGTAACACATCTTTGCCTAGTTAAACAAATATTCCACAACAATCTGTTAAATGATAGCCTCAATTGAGCCATGATTTGCCTTAGCCAATCTATAAAAGCGTCTATCAATATCTCCATAAAACTGACAGTGACTAGGTTCTAGCTGCTAAAGTTGCTGCCCCCAACAAGGATGGCTGGATGATGCTGCATGGAACCATTCACGTGCATTATGGTCATGACTGCATGCCAGCGCCTCTCACATGCGCTGAGCCTGAGCAAGCAAACATCGGCTGCTGTGAGGCTTCCTACACCCCCTTGAGCCCCTTACTGAAAGGCTATACACAACACTCCAAAAAGGCTCTCTTGCTGTCTCACTGCTACCTAACAGGTGCCCTGTTAGCCTTGTGTTCACAATGACTCAGACTATTTACCAAGCATAATGATAACTTAACAAGCAGCAGGTGCCAAGAGGGGTAAAACACTCATGATCCCAGCACTCAAGAAGCTTAGGCAGGAGATTGGACAGTTTGAGGCCAACCTGGATTAAGATTTATTTTCCTGAACTCATTTCTCCTCAGCCTCAAACTCTGTGGTAACAACAGGGACAGCAACAAGAATTGAGACAGCAAGAGCGGAAGCTATGCTGGGCTTTCTTCTAGCGCATACGGCTCCCGGCAAGATTCCTTTCCCTTGCAGAAGCGCTCCTCCTGTCACTGCCTTCCCTACCGCACTCAGACACAGAAAAGAACCTGTCACTTCTGACCCAGATTCTGCTCTGGGTGCTAAGTCTTTCTGTACTCCATCTTTCTTCATACTTCACCATGAGGATTATAAACTTATCTGAAATGGTAGGAATTCGTTTTGTTTCAATCCCTCTTTGTGCTACATGCTGCTGAGAGGCTGTACGTACTGAGAAGGGAGAGCAGCAGCCTGGCCTGCTGCCCAGCTGGGAGCAGATAAGTTCACCTAAAAAGGACTTGATGCTCCAAATACCAAAACTGGAAAAGGAAATGGAAGTGGGGGAAGGAAAATCTGGAACATATCCATGGATACCAGCTTGGTGAATTCAGCCTGAAGGTGGAACCTTCTGCCTAGCCTTCTTCTCTTCATCTTCACCATCTTCTATAACCTCAGCACAGTCAACCAGGGAGCAAGAGGAGAAGAAAGCAGTTCCGAAAATGTTCCAGACAAAGTTAGAACCACAGGTTAGGGATGGGGCGTGTACAACATCCACAGTAAGCAGGTGAAGGGTTGAGTGGACAGGTGTATACTTCTAACTCTACAGTTGTAAACTTCCTATCAAATTATTCCTGCCTTCAGCTCTCCTACCATCTACACTCTCTCATAATCTTTCTCTCTATTCTTACCCTTCCTCTATATACCCAATTCTCTAACTCCAGAATTATATATTTTCCAAATACAACACATTTTGAAGCTGCTAAAATCCTGAAATATTCATCCTGATCCCCTTTTTACTCATCCACATAGAAAACACCTAATGTTTCTTTTATGGACTAGATCAAATGGAACCTCCCCTGAGGTCCTGCCAACCTGGACACACACACACACACACACACACACACACACACACACACACACACACACACACACACACCTTTCCTTTGTTCCTTATCACACACACACACAAAAAAAAAAGGAGCTGAGAGTACAACCTTGAGATCAGGAGGAATGAGTCAGAACGCTGCTCATCGAGCTCATTGCCACGCAGCTATGATACTGTCTGAACATGGCTCCTGGAATCCTAGCCTCCTTGAACTCACATCCTGTCTCAGATGAAATAATTTACAAGGAGATTTGTTCCTTGGAAAGTCCAATATCGAGGCGCTAGCATCTAGGAAGGAGAGTCTTGCAGGCATCGTTCATAGTGAAAGACAGAAGGAACAAGGACAATGGCTTGCACACACTTGTACACACAAACACACACAGAGGGCTGACGGTGGGAAGGAAGAGAAGGTGCAAGCCAGCTCACAGCACCCAGCCCTTCTTCAGCTGACAATGACCCACTCAGGAAGAGGCGCCCTCATGATCTCTACCTCATCCCCACACTGCTGCACTGGAGTTTCCAAAATATGATTTGGAAGCGACACAATCAAACAATAGCACTCCTGCATAATTCCTCCCACATTGTATCCATGTGACCAAGAGAGATGCGGAAGACTTGGTAACCCGCCATGACAGGCGCTGCATCTCCCACACCGAGCTCTACATCCCTTTCTCTGTTGGATTACTTGCTTTGGAGAAAGCTAACTGCCATATTCAACAACCTATAATGAAACTGGGGTGAAGAACTGAGGCTTGGCCAGCAGGACAGTTCAGCAGGAAAAGATGCCTGCCACCAAGTCCAAGAACCTAAGTTTGATCCCCAGGATCCACATGGTAAAAGGAAGTGAATGCTAAAACTTGTCCTCTGACCCCCCACCACACACAAATATATCAGAAAACAAATATGAGAGAGAGAGAGAGAGAGAGAGAGAGAGAGAGAGAGAGAGAGAGAGAGAGAGAGAGAGAGAGAGAGAGAGGAGATTGAGAGAGATTTTGGTCTAGCATGACAGAGTATACTTGTAACAGCAGAAGGGTAAGAAGTTAAAGTCATTCTTATTGACATAGGTGTTCAAGGCCATTCTGGGCTACATGAGACCCACCTCAAAAACAAACAAAATGGAGAAAAGAAATTGTAAAAGATAGTCACTCTGCAGACCAAGCTGACCTCAAACTCAGAGATCTGTTTGCCTCTGTCTCCCAAGTGCTGAGGTGTTACGGTACACACCACCACAGCCCAGCTAAATAGCATATTTTAAAATAGGACATACTAGGAATGGTGATACACACCTGATACCCCAGTACTTGAAGGCTGAAGCAGGAGAATCGCAAATTTGAGGCTAGCCTAGTTTGCATAGCAAGTTCCAGGTTAGCTTGAGCTAAACAGTAAGACTCTGTCTCAAAACAATAACCCAGATTAATAATATGGCAGGGGAGAGGCTGGAGAGATGGCTCAGTGGTTAAGAACACTGGCTGCTCTACCAAAGGTCCTGAGTTCAATTCCCAGCAACCACAGAGTGACTCACAACCATCTATAGTGGGATCTGATGCCCTCTTCTGGCATAAAGATGTACATGCAGACAGAACACTCATATATGTAAAATAAATAAATAAGTCTTTAAAAAATATGGCAGGGGCTGGAGAGATGCTCAGAGGGTATTATAAGCACTTGCCACTAAGCCTGACAGGGAGCTACATGGTAGAAGGCACCAACTGAATCCACCAACCTTGATGTAGCACATGTGCACGCATGCACATACACACACACACTCTCACACTCACACACACCTGGGCGTGACCCATTCCTTAAATCCCAGCACTCAGGAGGCAGAGACAGATGGATATATCTCTGTGAGTTTGAAGCCAGCCTCGTCTACAGAGTGTGTTCCAGGACAGTCAGAGCTATATAGTAAAATTCTGTCTCATGAAAATAAAAATAGTAATAATAAATGCAATTCAAAAACAAATGAAGGCAGGCGGATCTCTGTGAGTTCGAGGCTGGGCTGGACCGATAGCCTCCAAAACAATACAGAGAAACCCTGTCTCGTAAAAACAAAAACAAAAAAAAACAAAAAAAAACAAACAAAAAAAAAACAAATGAAGGAGGAAAGAACAGAAGGAAACAATTCAGAAAGTTTATAGCAAAACCATATCTAATCCCTAAGTTACTGGTGTTCACAGACTATCTAAAATAAACAGAAATTCACCTGCTAAGTAGTATGAAAAGTAATTTCATTGATCTTTGAATTAAAATCAAGCACCACACTTCTAAAAATCCAAAAAGTATGGCAAACTGTAACTTATTAACCCAAAGGTAAAATTTATATTATTATACTAGACCCAGGAAACAAAGACATACAGTCTGTAAGCAATCTGAAAAGCTGGTGGTCTGGTCTGTAAAGTCCTGTACATATCTACATCCCTGACAGTGGGATAATGTATGCCAAGTTAGCATACCAATGGCACTTTCAGAAGGAAAAGTGAAGGTGCTAATTCTGTTGTCAGACTTGACTTGAGCTGAGGGTGTGTGCGTGTGTGTGCACGCATGAGTGCATGCGTGTGTGTGTGTGTGTGTGTGTGTGTGTGTGTGTGTACAAGGTCTCAAATAACTCAGCTTCACTTCAAAATGCTATGCAGCTACAAATGACCTTGAACTTTTAATCCTTCTGCCTCCATGCCCAAGTGCAAGGATCACAGGCCTGCACCAATGTGCCTGTTGTTGTATTTTGTTTGTGTCTGTGTTCTGACAAATAAAGCTTGCCTGGAGATCAGAGGGCAGAGCTAGCCACTAGTTAATCATAGAGGTCTGGAGGTCTGTACAGAGAAGAGATAGGAAGTGACAACATGGGGAGAAGACAGGAAGTGATAAGGATGGGAGTAGACAGGATGTCATCCTCTCAGTCTGAGATTTCAGAGCAGTTAGAGCTCTCGTGCCTGGCTGCTCCTCTGCTCTCTAAGCTCCCACCCCCAATATCTAACTTCACATTTCAGCCCATCCTGAGATGCTTCTGAAGAAAGAAAATACACACATCTGGAATGACATTAATGTGACACGCTGTTCAAAAGTGCTGAAAACAAGAGAGCAAAAGCAGCAGGGAAACAGGAAATTGAATGGCCTAAAGCTCAAGAAAACACCATGACGTGCAGTAGCCTCTCACATCTCCAGTAAACAACTGTGATGGACGGATGGTGGGATTTCCTTAGGTGTTCATGCCCCTGGGGACGCGGTCTGCTCCCTAGTAGGGGTCTAGGTTATTAAGACAATATGTTCTAAGAACTGATCAAAAGGTCTCCTTTTGATCCCTACCTATCCCCTAAATATTAATGACTGCTTTGATGCTAGCACCAGAGAAAATGACATGCATAGCCATGCCATGCATGAAAACAGTCCCCTGTGATCTGCTTCAGGGAATCTACCCAGATCTCCATGCAGTGAGCTTAAAAGGGACAAGGAAGCTGGGCGGCAGTGCAGCACACCTTTGATCCCAGCATTCCAGAAGCAGAGGCAGACAGATCTCCATGAGTTCGAGTTTAGCCTGGTCTGCAAGAACAAGTTCCAGGACAATCGGGCTACACAGAGAAACCCTGCCTCAAAAAACCAACCAACCAACCAAACAGCAAATAAATAAATAAATAAATAAATAAATAAATAAATAAATAAAGTGATAATGAAGAGATATGCAAAACCCAAATTGCAGTTTGTACTTTTCCCCTCCTAAAAAGACTAACACCATGGTTCCTGATATTTCTTCACACATAAATGTTTCCCTTTTTTCATTTTTTAAAGACTCTTGATTTTCTTAAAAGATTTGTTTTATTTTCAATCACATGAGTATGGGTTCCCACAGAAACTAGAAGTGTCAGAAAACCCAGAACTAGAATGACAGATCGTTATGAACCACCACATGGATACAGGGAACTAGAATGATAGGTCGTATGAACCACCACATGGATGCAGGGAACTGAACTGAGGTCCTCTGAAAAGGCACTACGCAGTCTTAACCACTGAGCCATCTTTCAGACCAATGTGTTTTTCTTGAAGTAAAACAGACCATATATTTTTATCACTTTATTCTTCACAATAGATATACACATAAAAAAGAGCCATGGCACTTACACATAGAGGTCCATAGGGAACTCCTTCATCATGTGTGTCACAATGAACTCCACCATCAGGTCTAAAAGTGGAATGGAGAAAAATGACATCAGTCACAATGAAAGTCACTCTTATTGCTTGAGTTGGGGGAAGAAAAGCTTCTCAAAGCTGTGTGTGCCTTGTACTCACAAGGAATGGCATCCTCCACCTTTCACACTGAGTGACATCCCTGCGATCATCTATCTGCATGAATCCCATTTATTTTCTATGGCATTTTTTTAACACTTGTCATTTGGATATTAACAAGTAAAATGCTTCATGCACTAAGTTTCAGCAAAGTGATTCGCTCTCCAGTAAGTTAACAAGCTAAACACCTCACTCCCCTACTTCTAGAAGGACCCGACAATAAATGTACATGCAAGGGAAATTTCATTGTACAGATATCTTATACCACAGCACAAATACAAACGGCTGGAGGGAAATCTGAGAGTAGGCCAATGAGACAAGCAAAGATGAAAGTCTGGGATCCACTCCCACGAGCAGGCTCGGCTATGAAGCTCTGTAAGTCTGCCCCGGCTCCCCATCATGCTGTTTGACAGCCTGACTGGGACGATCTGTGGCGTTCTTGGTCAACAGAGCTTACTGTATGGTCTTCATTACTGTTCCTAAATCAGGTAGATTCAGGAACTGAGGCTGAACATCCCGTGATGAAGAGTTTCACTAATTCCTCTAAGAAAATGCATATTTTTGGACAGACAGAATGATATCAGCTTTGTCAGTCCCATCTCAACTACATTTATTCAAGGGAAGTTTCCCATGTCTGGATCTCAAATTCTAAACCTCCTGACCTTTTGACACATCAATGCAGAAGTAAGAATTTGAAATTTTGGTGACAAGTAAGTCATACTCACTTCTGTCCCAGGAAAGGTGTTTTTTTGGTTTTTGGTGTTTGGTTTTTTTGTTTTGGTTTGGTTTTTTTGAGCAGGGCATCCTTTCATGGAGCGCTATAGTCATTGGGTTTGGTTTGCAGAGTACACAAAACTTCTTCTGTAACTATGCTGAGGAAAAGCACAGCACCCAAAACCTTTCTCATGATAAGCATCAATGTCTCAGAAAAATGCCCTCTGATGATACTCACTCACCCAGGACTGCACACACCAAGGGACGGCAAGGAAGGTTCTTGTCAGCCGCCTTCTTCCTGTGTCTCATAGGCTTCAAAACCACACACAGAGAAGAAAGGGAATTAGCAAACACTTGAACTGAAATCCAGTGGTTTATCGTGTTTCTCATGCAAATGCAACCTCTACTACAGAGATTTACTCAGCAGAGTCTACCTTGTCTCACTCTTTCTAGTGTGTGTGGGGGTGGAGGGTGCAAGCAGAGGAAGGGCAGGGGAGTGCTTCTGAGTTATCGAGGAAGGCCTGTGACAAAAATACAATTTACAGTGGCTGGAGAGATGGCTCAGTTCTTAAGCGCACTTGATGCTCTTCCAGAAGACCCAGGTTCAATTCCCAGCACCCACATGCCAGTTCACAACTGTCTGTAACTACAATTCCAGGGAATCTGACACCCTCACACAGACACACATGCAGGCAAAACACCAATGCATATAAAATAAATAAATAAGCCAGTGTGGTGGCATACAGCATTGATCCCAGTAGTCAGGAGGCAGAGGCAGGTGAATCTCTGTGAGTTCAAGGCCAGCCTGGTCTACAGAGTGAATTTCAGGGCAACCAGGGCTACACAAAGAAACCCTGTTTTGTAAAACCAATACATACATACATACAATTGACAGCAAGACAATAAATAAACAGTCTGTCCTAAAGGGCACTGGTACCCTACAACAGGACAAATGTCACTTGAACTTTATCTAAACTGCACACATAGCATTGTTAACAAAGAAGGAACACTGGTACTCTTCTATAATAATAAAAAACAATTAAAAAAAAAGAACAGGGGAGCTGGAGAGATGGCTTAGAGGTTAAGAGCACTAACTGCTCTTCCAGAGGTCCTGAGTTCAATTCCCAGCACCCACAAGGTGGCTCACAACCATCCATAATGAGCTCTGTAGACCAGGCTGGTCTTGAACTCACAGAGATCTGCCTGCCTCTGCCTCCCGAGTGCTGGGATTAAAGGTGTGCACCACCAAGCCCAGCTAGTTGTAGATCTTTCTATCGTCAGCTGAGCAAGAAATAGCTTTATGACAAATAAGCACCCCAAGGACAGACATGGGTCTGCTGACAAGCAATCATGCCCTGAGCCCTCTAGGCACAATTACCCAGCTACATTTGTTCTGTAAAGAATCAATTTCATCCTAACTCAGCCAATACACAAACACTTGTCTATTAAAAACAAGAAGTAAAAGTAAGTCACACCTACCATTCTATGTAAGTTTACTCGAAAATTCATGTTGTCATCATGTAAAAATGCATTGGCATACTGATCCTAATAAAAATAGAAGAGTTAAGATGTGAGAACTGTGTTTAAGACACTCAACTGGGCATGACAGCACATGCCTCTAATAGTCAGCATTGGAGGGAGGGAGACAGGAGGGTGAGAAATTTAAGATCATCTTGAACTATACAGCCAATGTAATCCCAATCTAAGATGCATGAGACCCTGTGGAAAGACAGAAATACAATAAGGATAGAAAGAGCGAGAAAGACAGAAGGACGGGGGCCGGTGAGATGGTCAGTGGATAAAGACATTTACCACCAAGCCTGATGAACTAACTGAGTTTGATCCATGAAACCCACATGGTAGAAACTGATCCCTGCAACCCACATGGTTGTCCGCTGGGCTCCATATGCAAGCTGAGACACACAAGAACACACATATGGGTGCGTGTGCGCGAACATGCATGCGACACACACACACACACAAATAAATCAATACATATTTTTAAAAGACAGAGAAAATGGGTGGGGAAGAAGGGAGAAACAAAGAAAGGAATAAAGGCAGGCAGGCAAGCAGGCAGACATGAATGCATGCATTTGACAAAATCCTCCCTCTCTCCTCCCCACAAGCCCAAAACAAGGTCTCTAGCCTAGGCTGGCCTCTAAGTCCCTCTGAAGCTAAGAACAGTCTTGAACTTCTGCTCCTCCTGCCTTCACCTCTGCCTCTGAGTGCTGAGATTATAGGCATATGAGTTTACACAGAGAAGGAGACTGAACCCCAGATTTGGCCATGCTAAGTAAGTGCTTTGCCAATTGAATTACATTCTCAGTCCAAATCCTTGGGCCTTTATAAATTACTTTCAGGATCAGTTGGAGAGCTAATGTGATAAGCCTAGAGCCTTTACATTAATCCATTACTTAAGTCATGAAATTGAGTATAATTTTCCAGTATGTCTTTAACTGTCAAAGATCTCTGAGAAAATTAAATACAATAAAAATTAAAATCCAGAGACTTGAGACAAATGATGAAAGGAATTTGTTTTTCCTATTCTCTCTTCCTTCCCATCTGCCCAACGAGTCAGCTGTGTTTGTGACAGCTTGGAGGCTCTCATAAGGGCAGGAGGACGCATGTGCAGGCACCACATGGAGCTCTAGGAATAAGGCAGGTCTGTGCTCTGCTGGGAATGAGTTCAGCACAGCAGGAAGGAACTGCTATCCTGGCAGCACAGAGCAGACAAGACCCGGTCTCTCCCTGTCTTTAAAAACTGATGGAAAAATCAAACTCTTCTCACGGCAGATTGGAAATAAACATCCCTTGGCTCTTCCCCAACACCTTCCTGAGATCTGACATGCCTACAGACTCCAATTACTAGGAACTGTTACAATATGTGAAAAACAAGTCCTTTAAAGATTTTCTTTGAAACATTTTTGAAAGGCAATTATACTAGCCTACTGTTAATAAGCAGCTCTTCTGGAACCACCATCCCCTAGCCTTGTGAAAAGAGTTCATCTTCCCACAGAGAACACAGAAAGGAAAAATGTGAGAGACCACCACACCCTGTGAACTAACTACCTTGGCTATTTTCTTAAAACACAAAGGTGAGGAAAATGAGTTCTGACAGGAGAGGCAGACGTTATAAAGTTAGCCCTAAGCTAGCTTGAGTTCCATCACACTTAGGTGTCACCACTAGTTAATCCAGCCAAAAGAGCCTACTCATGAAGAAGCATCTTCCCAACAGTCACTGACAACCTGACTGTTCTCAAATCACCAATTAGACATCCTCTAGGTAAGTCTACAAGGTGTCTTCCAAGAGATGACACTAAGGGATGGAAGAATCATTCTAAATGTACTACCCCATGGCTAAGGGCTCAGTGTGAACAAAAGAAGAGGAGGAGGGAGTGTAAGCACCAGCATTGGTCTCTCCCTGCTTCCAGACCGCAGACACACCATGAAAAGGATGCTGCAGACTCCCACAGTCACGCTCCCATAGCCATGTCTTTTTTTAAAATATTACATGGGGTGTGCGTTAGTGTGTGTGTGTGTGTGTGTGTGTGTGTGTGTGTGTGTGTGTAGGTCAGAGAACAGCTTAAAAGAGTCAGTCAGCACCAGGTAGTGGTGGCCCAGACTGATGGTGGTGGTGCACACCTTTAATCCCAGCACTCAGGACAGAGACAGGTAGATCTGAGTTTGAGGCCAGCCTGGTCTACAGAGTGAGTTCCAGGACAGCCAGCTTGGTTACACAGAGAAACGCTGTCAGAAAAAAAAAAGTCAGTCAGTTTAGTCAGCTTTCTCCTTCCATTATGTGGTCCCCAGGAATCAAACTCGTCATTGGGCTTGGTTGCAGGCGCCTTTACCTGCTGAGCAATCTCACCTACAAGTAAATTGCTACTTATCCGGAATTTGGTCATAGAGATGAGAAAAGTAACTCACACACACCTCCTCTTCTGTCAGTTCTTGTTCACCACAGAAACGCAACCATTCTCCTGTTTCTCTCCTACTCCTCTACACCCAAGATACTTTAGCTACTTTTTGAGTTTACTAAATACAAAAGACACAACCTGGGCATCTCCAAAGGGAAAGGATTGGTTTTCTAGGAAGTTTTAAATCTTTTGGCTAGAACTGTTCAGGGCCAGAATGCAGATGGGAATGTAGCTCACTTGGCACAGTGTTGCCTAACATGCATCAAGCCCCAGGTTCAATCCCAGCACCACATAAAACCAGGATGGTGGAACACTGCATGTCTGTGATTCCATCACTCAGACACAAAAGGATCAGAAGTTCAAGGTTATCCACAACTACACAAGAAGTTCAAGGGCAGCCTGGACTATAACAGACCCTCCATCTTTAAAAAGGGGGGGTTGCTTGGAGAACCAAGCCAGAACCATCTGTCCAATTCTCAACTACCATAGTTACTATATCAGTTTTGTTTCGTTTGAAACAGGGCCTTGTGTATTCCCGCGCTGGCCTCAAACTCACTAGTATAGCCAAGGAAAAGACTTGAAACTCTAATCTTCCTATCTCTGCCTCCAGAGTGCTGTGCCAGGTCAGGTGTTTAGTGGGGTTGGTAATGAAAGCCAGGGCTTCATAAATGTGAGGCAAGCACTCTCCCAACAGCAACATCTCCCAGCACCTCAAAGTTCATTACTAATTCATCTAATAATGCTAACCGAGTCTCTCCTGTGCACCAGATAGTGAGAACACAGTAGTGATGAAAGCAAGGGCCTTGCTACCTAAGCTCACATGCTAGAGGAAGGAGACGGACAACACAAAGAACCTCAAGTCAAGAAACAAGGGCGGGTGGGCAGGAAAAGAGGAAGAAACCAACTTACACCCAAAGTTCACAGTAAGACCTACCTCTGCAATACATGTAAGGATAATCAGACAGAGTTTGCCACTGTGAAGCCTGTGTTCATCTGTAAAGAAAAAAGTAAAGTCTTCTCTATTCAAATCCAAATCACGTATCAACAGAGAACAAAAATGTACATTACAAAGAGGAGCATCCCACGAAAGTCGTGAATGAAGGGCTATGGAAATAGTTCAGTCAGTAAATCACTTGCTGTACAAGCATGGGAACTTCAATTTTATGTAAAAAGCCTGTGATACACACTTGTACTCCCAGCTCTGGGAAGACAGAGAAAAAGGATCCCTGAAGCTCACTGGTCCGTCAGCTTTACCTACTTGGTGAGTTCTAAGCCAGTGAGAAAACTGTCTCAAAAAAAAAAGTGGATACCGTCCAAGGAATGGCACCCAAAGTTGCACACACACACACACACACACACACACACACACACACACACACACACACACACACACACACTCTGCATCTGTATATAGATGAAACACACACTCACGAATCAAAATCAAGGTGGTTCTAAATTATGTCTTGCTTCCCTCCTAGGCAAAGGAATTCTCCCAGTAAAAAATTTTCCTTTATACTGGTAGCCTGTAAAATATTTGACCAAGATGTCACCCTTGTAATCATATTATCATGCCCATGCCTTTTCTTCCAGTTGAACCCAGAGCCTTACATGGCAGCAAGCAAGAGCTCTACTACTAAACAACACCAGCCTAGTGCCTATTTTAAAGAGAAAGCAGATTTCTCTTTAAGGTAACAGTACCAAAGACACAAGTACTAAGGATTTTTAAAAGGAGAACAAAACAAGGGGATGAAAACATAAAATTTCAGAACGTGAATGGGAAGGAATGACAGAGGAAGCAGCTTCAGCAACCTAACAACATCTGCTTTTTAAAATTAAGTAGTAGGTTCACATTTACTTTATTACTATACTACTTATTTTATTATGCTTTACAACATACAGACAGCTCAGTGGCTAAAGAGTGCTCTTCCAGAGGACAGAAGTCCAGTTTCCACACATACATAAGGCAGTTCACGACTGAGTGTAATTCTGCCTCCAAAGAATCTGACACCCTCTTTAGCACACTCATGCAACTCACACACAATACATACACACACACACACACACACACACACACACACACACACGAATAAATGAACCGAAAGGAAAGCATTTTATAGATGTCAATTGACACATACATTGGGGAAAATGGTATCTTAGAGCCAGTTATAGTGGCGCACGCCTTTAATCCCAGCACTCAGGAGGCAGAGGCAGGCCACAGAGAAACCCTGTCTCGAAAAACCAAAAAAAAAAAAAAAAAAAAGACAGGAGAAGGAGAAGGGATGGACAAATGAAACCACAGAACAGCCTTTTTTGAAGTTAACTATTCAGCATATCTAACCTTGCCCTTGCCATAGTTAGACTGTCTACTGGCAAAGATGTATTGCAGTCTATATACACTGTGACCACCCATACTGACTATTAATTAATCTGTAATTTGGGCTTTGTATTTATGAACCTGAAGTGACCAGAACAGATGCTTATATAATTGTTAGAGCTAAAAATGCATTCCAAGAGCATCAATTCACTGTGTTATATCAAGCAAAGCTAAAAGTTCATTTTTCTGGGTCACATCCATGCAGTTTCTTTCTCTTGTGGCTGCTGCAATATTTGTAGAAAAAGGAGCAGGCTACCCATTTCCATAAGGAAGCAATAGCCTCAGGAAACTCAGACACATAAGAGTATTGTTATCTTTACCACCAGATTCCACTTGACAAGTCTCAAAGAATCAACCACCTCAGTGGTTCCCAATGGACTGTAGTATGTTAGGAGTTGGTGACATGGAGTATTTGCATGAAGTTCATTCCTGTGTAGCCCTTACTCTTGAAAGAGTAACAAGAGAAAAGCCCAAGTTTTCAAGGCAACAATGTCCAATAGAGCATGCAATGTCTGAACACAGCACAGCTCAGACACACACCAGGCTCCCTTCACTTCCTATATCATCTTCCAGCTTTCCAGTCTCTGTCTACCAGTGTTTTCTCCTCACTCCTGACACCCTGAACCTGGTCTTTCCTTCCTTTCTAGAGCTCTTGAAGACCCTCATAACAGAAACCAGCTCAACTGGCAAACAAAACCCTGAAGTACAAACCACGCTGAAAGGGGCCTCAGAACCAGTACAGTCTCCTCACAGAACATAAGGCAGCAAAAACAATCGACTCTAACAGTTTTCGGTTCCACAATAAAATTGACTTTTGTAATATATGGGAATCTGAACTTATTCATAGACCATAAGTTAATAACTCAAGTGGGCATGGTAGTATACATATGTAATTCCAGCACTTGTAAATAGAAGGGTTAAGAGTTCAGGGCTAGCCTCTACAACAGAACAAGTGTGAGGCCAGCCTAGGGTACTTGAGAAAAAGAAATCAAGAGAGAGACAGAAGCCTTTATCAGAAAAGCCTCCCACTAGAACAGCCTGTGGTGTGGTGGTCTGAATGAAAATGTCCCCATAGGCCCATAGGGAGTGGCACTATTAGGAGGTGTGCCTTGTTGGAGGAAACCCACCTGGGGGGTGGGTTTTGAGGTTTCAAATGCTCAAGACAACCCCAGTGTCTCTCACTCTCTTCCTGTCGCCTGTGGACCAAGATGCAGAACTCTCAGCTCCTTCTCCAGTACCATGTCTGCCTGCATGCTGCCATGCTTCCTGTCATGACAATAATGAACTAAACCTCTGAACTGTAAGCCACCCCAATTAAATGTTTTCCTTTATAAGTCTTGCTGTGGGCCAGGCAGTGGTGACATATGCCTTTAATCCCAGCCCTCAGGAGCCAGAAGCAGGCGGATCTCTGTGAGTTTGAGACCAGCCTGGTCTACAAGAGCTAGTTGAAGGACAGCCTCCAAAGTCACAGAGAAACCCTGTCTCAAAAAAAAAAAAAAAAAAACTTGCTGTGGTCATGCTGTCTCTTCACAGCAAGAGAAACCCTAACTGCCAAAGTGTCAAAACTAAGTAATGGTAGAACATCTGACCTTAAATGGGGCAGCTCTATCGCCTGCTCCAGGGCTCAGAAAACATCAGGGAAAGGGAACAAAAAGAATGTGAGAGTCAGAAGATAGGGAGAGAGGCAGAAAAAGGCATCTCCTGGATCTGACATAGCAAGTATATTCATGAACTCACTGTAGTTGTAATTACACACGACCTACACAAGATTGGGCATCGAACTGGGCAATGGTGGCGCACGCCTTTAATCCCAGCACTCGGGAGGCAGAGGCAGGCAGATCTCTGTGAGTTCAGGGCCAGCCTGGTCTACAAAGCTACACAGAGAAAGTCTGTCTGGGAAAGAAAAATGATTGAGTATCGACATTTCATCATAGATATATAGGGGCCTGTGAGAACCTATCCTTCCTTCTGGGACTACTGGCAATTAACAGCTACTGGGGGGGGGGGAATGTCATATTCTTCAGTGGTGTAGCTATGGATAAATTACCCTTGCTCCAGAAAACAACCTCCAACCCACACTGAGCAAGAAACTTGTAATTAAACTGGGGGAGGAGAGGGCTGAGGGGGTTGCTACAGATGGTCTCAATAATCACTGCTCTTTCAGAAGACATGGCCTTGGCTCATGTCCCAGTACTGACAAGACACTTCACAACTGTCTGTGACTCCAATGCCAGAAGATCCAACACCCTCTCCCAACCTCCACAGGCTGCTGCACAAGACACATGGTACACAGACATGCTCTAGGCACACATACTCATGCACATCAATCCAAACAGAACTGAAACTCAGTAGGTCACACAGAAAAAGACGGCATGAAAGTAGGAAGGGTGAGGGGACATCATAGAGATGAGGGGCGGTGGCTTAGCTTCAAGAGCACTGGCTGCTCTTCCAGAGGACCCAGTTCAACTCCCAGGTCACAACCTTCTATACCTGTAGTCCCAGGGGACATGATGCCCTTTTCTGGTGTGCATACATGAAGAAAACACATTCTATTCATACATAAATAAACCTTAAAAACAAACAAACAAAAAGAAATCAGCATGGGGACTTGATGAGAAGAGGCTTTTAAGTGGGAGAAGGAAGAAGATCAGAGATCAAGACCAGGCATGGTGGTGTAGGCTTTAATCCCAGAACTATGGAGGCAGAGGCAGGTAGACTTCTGTAGGTTCAAGGCCAGCATGGTCTACATAGTGAGTGCCAGTCCACACAGTGAGTCCCTGTGTCAAAATTTAAAAAAAAAAATGAAGAACATTTAAATCTGACTTAAAAACTACTAAAATTCATTATATAAATGTATGGAACAGTTTTATAAAAAGAAGAGGAGAAAGGTTTGAGGGACAACTGGAGAACCTTCAATGTGAACTGGTTATACACACGAGTAGAGAGACATTGTTGGTTTCTTTAGACATAATAATGACATTTTAGATAATCTAGGAAAATGTTTTTAATTTCTGGAGATGAGGCCGAAGTACTTAATTAAACATGAAATACAGTGATATCTGCAATGTCCTTTAAAGGAATACAGCCCAAATAAAGGCAGCTACAAAAGGAGTTTAAGGCCGACCAGGTACAGTGGAGTATCAGTGGGATACAGGTGATCACTGTACAGTTCTTTTAACATAGATAGATAGATAGATAGATAGATAGATAGATAGATAGATAGATAGGTAGGTAGGTAGGTAGGTAGGTAGGTAGGTAGGTAGGTAGGTAGGTAGGTAGATAGGTAGAAAGAAAGAAAGATAGGCAGGCAAACAGACAGATAAATAGATAGATCTCAGTTTATCACAAAACAACAAATTGCCAGGCAGTGGTGGTGCACACCTTTAATCCCAGCACTTGGGGGGTAGAGGCTGTCAGATTTCTGTGAGTTCAAGACCATCCTGGTCTACAAGAGTTCTAGGATAGCCAAAGATACACAGAGAAACCCTGTCTCGGAAAACAACAACAACAAATCAAAACCACAAAGAAAGCTGCAGCAAAATGAAGACCAGAAGATCTGTAAATCAGGAAGGAAAAGCAACACTTTTCCAGCACCCAGCCACCATGATCCTGTTATGCTGTAGTCCTTGGCCCTGATGAGGCTGTACCCAGGATCCCAAAGGCCCTTACCTTCACAGCAAAACAATCTCAACCGTTTCTCCCTCCTCCATGCTGTTATCTAGGGTTAGTGACATTTCTATTTTCAGTGATAAGAAATACAGCCTTCTGAATCTCATCTAATTCTCACTACAAGCTAAGCTTTCAGTGTGTGTCCTCAGAAGGGAATTCCCCGAAGCATGCTAGTCCCCCCACCCAACTTCCCACACAGAAGACCTGCTAAGAATGCTTACTAATTTTTCCACTTCTATATTTAAGCACTTTCCTCCAACTCCAGGCTTTCCCAACACCACCTAATTGTCACCTGCAGAGAGAAATCACTGTTTTCCAGTGACCAGGTCATCACCTACAGGAGGCCCCAAGGGTTCACAGGTCATCACCTACAGGAGGCCACTAGGGTTCACAGGTCATCACCTACAGGAGGTCCCAAGGGTTCAGAGGTCATCACCTACAGGAGGCCCCAAGGGTTCAGAGGTCATCACCTACAGGAGGCCCCAAGGGTTCACAGGTCAAAACCTCAAAACGCAGCTGCTGCTCTTTGACATCAGCCCCACGTCCAGGGCAGCAAGTCTTACCTTTGGTGTCCTGCATGACAATCGAGCTGTACTTTAAGAAGGTTATCAGTAGATTACTGGTCTGTACATCTGCATCCAGTGGGAGCTCCACAGGACCTATGACTGGAATGGAACAAACACAGCACTTAGCCATAGCATTCCCACTTCTAACCACACAGCCAGTTTGACAGCAGGCAAGAAAATGTCTAAGTAAGCTTTTCCCACAGCACAAGGAGGACCAGGTATTTCCATAAACTTTCTATCTAGTCTCGATAGGCCTCGAGAGCCCCTACACTCCCCCCAAACCTGTCCACCTTCTTTCTCATCTAGGGTCAATCCAGAAACACTTTTCTCCTAACACCCTAGGAAAGGATGTTAATTCTATTCCAGCCCCAAGTAATCAACAGTTCGAGGTCCTTCCTAGAGGCACTGTCATTTCTAACTAAGGGAAAAATTTATAGTGAATACAAATGAGCCTTGCTTTGATGAGTCTCTTGCTTAAAATAAACAAAGAGTTCTTCCTAATATGGGTAATTTGCTCAATGTGCAGAACAAGCCTTACACTAAAAGTACCCAGGCTGAAAGGAGCAAAACTTAAGGCAGAACTATGTTTAAAGTCTAGCCCTTAATCTCTGCCCTGTGAAAAGGAACCTGAAATGCAGTATCAGACTGAAAACTGGTGGACACTGCTGACTAGAATCCTGGAATTGGAACAGTACATGCCTAGCCTGTTCCCAGAAGAAGATTCTTCTATTGTCCTGGCCCCAGTGAACAACGGGAATCAGACCAGAATTGACCTGACCATAGCAGCTTTAACTTAGAGTTCCCAAGATTCAAAGACTTTAAATTAGTCAACGTATTAAGTGCTTTAACAGTGTCTAAAATATAATACATACACAAAAAGAGCCTCAAGATTGCCCAGGAACATTTGAAAATCTATAGCATTCTACTATATTTTAAACTATGAACATACTGCTAGGTTTAGGGTATTATTAGTCATAATATGTATTCATGACCACAATGAATCCCTCTGGAGTTATTACAATACATGCAGAAGACATTTATTAATAATGTGAAACACTGTACATTACAGTTCCACAATACACAGCAAAAGCCTTATAAGAAGAAATTAGCATGGCCAACCCTTGACTGTTTCCCCATAATTTGGCCCCTAAGAAAAAAAAAGATAAATTGATTTTTATATTGAAACACTAAAAGATTTCCTAAATAGAGTGGGCTATAGAGTGAGAGCCTGTCTCAAAAACAACAAACAAGCCTAAAGGTCTTACAGGTCTTTTATTTCAAACCACAGTCATTTTGAACTTAGAACCCATAATCATTCCTTTGTTATCTAACTAGTAAGTGGAAGTTTTACCCCACTCACACAGCGATAACTAGAAAACTATCTTACATAACATGTAGAAATATAGAACTATATATATTTTTAGTTTACCAGAAAGTCCTCTCATGCCAAGGCGGAGTTGTCAAATGTCAAGTCTGAGCTGCGAACAAATGTTACAGCTAACTGCTGGCTTTTAAAAATAATAGCACCAGTGACATACCTTTAAATATAACTGGGCTACAGAACAGCACTATAATTAAAAACCAAAAATTGAAAATAAGGCTATAATACTTAGGACCCCTACAGAAAGGAAATGAGTTAGGAGAGAATAAAAAAATAAAATAAAGGCAGAATCAAATCCCTAACCAATTAAAATCTCCTCCCTAAGCAAGCATCATTCCTTAACCGTTGACTTTATAACTCTTCCCAGGAGCTTTTGTCAAGAGAGACAGTAATCTGAAAGTGGGCTGACTTGATCTTCCCACTAGAAGACTAAAAGCTCCGTGGTTGTAGGTAAGCACAAACCCTGCCATTGCATAATCAAGTGTGTGGGTGAAGTGCTCACAATCAACCGCTGAAAGGCCGTTCTCTGAAGCATCCAAACCTCAACATCACATGGAACTGAGGTATGCACACACACACTCACACACACACTCACACACTCACACAATACTCCACACACTCACACCATACTCCACACACTCACACAATACTCCACACTCACACAATACTCCACACACTCACACAATACTCCACACACTTACTCACACACACACTCACACACTCACACACATACTCACACACACACTCACACACTCACACAATACTCCACACACTCACACACATACTCCACACACTTACTCACACACACACTCACACACATACTCACATACACACACACTCATACACATACTCACACACTCACACAATACTCCACACACTCACACACATACTCCACACACTTACACACACACACTCACACACATACTCACATACACACACACTCACACACATACTCACACACTCACACAATACTCCACACACTCACACACATACTCCACACACTTACTCACACACATACTACACACAGTCACACACATACTCACACACACTCGCACACATACTCACACACTCACACACATACTCACACACACTCACACAATACTCCATACACATACTCACCCACTCACACACACATACACAGTCACACACTTACACTCTCAGACTCACACATACTCACACACATATGCACATACATTCTCTCTCTCTCACACACACACACATACATACACACACACACACACGCATGCACGCGCGCGCGCACTCACACACTGTTGCAGAATCATGGAGATCCTGTGGCTGTGGTTCCACAGGACTAGTCCCTTCAGGTCATAGATAAAGTAGATGTTAGGGTCAGCCCCTACACACACACACACACACACACACACACACACACACACACACACACACACAGGCATGAGCTCGCACACAGGTGCACACACATAAGCACGCACGCCCATCCGCCCTCCCTCCCTAGACAAGGTTTCTCTGTGTAGACCTGTCTGTCCTGGAACTTGCTCTGTAGAAGAGGGCTGGCCTTGAACTCAGAGAACCGCCTGCCTCTGCCTCTCAAGTGCTGGGATTAAGGTGTGTGCCACCACATTTTAATATGGTGCTATGCATTTGGATTTTAAGGCAGTATAAGCAGCAGAGAAGTATGGCAAGGAGCTGTCATTGACATTCATTCAGATCTATGACACCAAATTGAATCTGTTTAGAATTAAAAGCCAAATTTCCGCATATCCGAATGAGAAGCTTAGTGAGGGTTGTCTGCTTGCCTGGTTATTGAGGTTACTGCATAAACCAATGGAAACACACACTTTCTCTTTGAGGATGGAGTCTGCTTAATTACCATGGATATCAAAGCCACATACCTGTGTGGTGTGTGTGTGTGTGTGTGTGTGTGAGAGAGAGAGAGAGAGAGAGAGAGAGAGAGAGAGAGAGAGAGAGAGAGAGAGGGAGGGAGGGAGGGAGGGAGGGAGGGAGGGAGGGAGGGAGGGAGGGAGAGAGAGAGAGAGAGAGAGAGAGAGGGAGAGAGAGGGAGAGAGAGGGAGAGAGAGAGAGAGAGAGAGAGAGAGAGAGAGAGAGAGAGAGAGAGAGAGAGAGAGAGAGAGAGAGAGAGAGAGAGAGAGAGAGAGAGAGAGAGAGAGAGAGAGAGAGAGAGAGAGGGAGAGAGAGAGAGAGAGAGAGAGAGAGAGAGAGAGAGAGAGAGAGAGAGAGAGAGAGAGAGAGAGAGAGAGAGAGAGAGAGAGAGAGAGAGAGAGAGAGAGAGAGAGAGAGATTCAGTGAGGGTCCAGTATGGATTGTGTAGCAGAAGCCTAAGACCTTGAACTAGGCCAACAACTCATTGCAATGAACATCTGCAAGTAAAGCTCTTTGGGCAAAAGGGTAGACTGTCTGACACCACAGCTCCCAATACCACTGCAATGATCAAGTATGTGATGGAGAGGCAGGCAAGAGAGAGGACCAAAGTGGGTTTTTGTTTTACATTTTGGTGGTGGTGGGCTACATAGTGGAGGACAGACATGGAAGAACTTGGAAATGAGTGCACTTGGGGTGCATGATGTGAAGTTCCTAAAGAATCAACAAAAAATTATGCTCAATTAAAAAAATGTCTGGGTTGAACGGGGCAGTGATGGTGCAAACTCTTTTTTTGTTTGTTTGTTTGTTTGTTCTTTTTTGAGACAGGGTTTCTCTGTATTGTTTTGGAGGCTGTCTTGGAACTCTCTCTGTAGACCAGGCTGGCCTTGAACTCAGAGATCCACCTGCCTCTGCCTCCCGCTATTGGCACAGACTCTTAATCGCAGCACTCAGGAGGCAGAAGTAGATGATCTCTGAGTTCAAGGTCAGGCAGAGTTCACAGAGGAACAAAAACCATACAAAGCAAAAGGTGAGTAGGTGAGTGAAGTGAAAAAGAGCCTGACAACTATATACACAGCACCAGCTGAGACAAGGGTACTTCACATGTAAACCAGACACATAAAGGACCAGCTGATTTCTTCACACTTCAAAAACCATTATTAGCTGGGCATGGTGGCGCATGCCTTTAATCCCAGCACTCAGGAAGCAGAGGCAGATGGATCTCTGTCAATATGAGGCCAGCCTGGTCTACAAAGCAAGTTCCAGGACAGCCAGCGCTACCCAGAAAAACCCTGTGTCAAAACAAAACTAACAAAAAAACTATTATTATTATTATTGTTACTGTTATTGGCAGAAGCTCATGTGCCATGACATGCGTAGAACAGTCAGAGGTCATCTCTCTTTCCACCTTATATTGATAACTAAAGTATCCAATTCAGGTTGTCAGGCTTGTCCAGCAAGGACTTTTACTCACTGAACCATCTTGACAGTCGCAAAGCCGGATATTTCTTATACCCATTTACACAAAATGAGCTCAACAACTGAAGCATAACACTAAATATAAATGTACAATTTTTTTCAATTGTTTCAGACAGGGTCTCATAAAGCCCAGGTTGGTCTCAAACTCACTGTCTCAAACTGTAGCCAAGGATGGCCTTGAATTTCTCGGATTCTCCTTCTTCCATCTCTCTCACAGACATGTGATGAAAAGCCAGACTTTTGTAAGGTACAGGCAATCAAATCCAGAACCCTGTAAATGCCTCTCAAGCACTCCACGAGTACTTGAAGGGGTATACTGTTTCTTGGTTCTGTGTATTTTGGGGTTTATTTGTTTGTTTGCTTGCTTTTCGAGAAAGGATCTCTCTGTGTAGCCTTGGCTGTCCTGAAACTCTCTACAGACCAGGCAGGCCTTGAACTCAGAGAGATCCACCTGCCTCTGCCTCCTGAGAGCTAGAATTAGAGGTGTGCTACTACCACAACCCTAGCTAGTAATTTTTTTTTGAGACGTTTCATGCAGCCAAACTGGCCTTGAACAGATTCTCCCTCCAACTCCCTCCAGCTGTGATTACAAGCATACACTACCACACATGGCTTTAAATAAATTGCTTTTTTTCTTTTAAGATTCATTTTTATAGTTTTTAATTATGTGAATGGGTGTGCCTGTGCCTGGAGGGCTGGAGAGTTAGGTTCTCTGCTAAGTACAAGCAGATGAGAGTTGCCTGATGTGGGTGCTGGGAACCGAACTCAAGCCTCTGCAATGGAAGTGTGTGCTCTCAGTCACTAAGCCACTCTCCAGCCCCACACGTTGTTTCTTACACGAAGAAACACCCCACTCACCTGTCTTTGCAAACTTATCTCTGGAACTTGAGAAAGTCTAAAGGATAGCATCATATACTATCTTTTCTCTTCTTGTAAGATGATCTGCTGTGTCCTGGGCCGGTCTCAGATCCCTGTGCTCCAGCGGGTCTTGAGCACCTCAGACCCCAGATGCTGGGAAAGCTGGGCACGTGACACAGTCCCCAGCTCTGACTAATGTCTTCCCTTTCTCTTCTTCCGTTTCTCTTTCTCTCCTTGCCCTTGCTCTGTCTTGGTGACTAAACCTAGGGCTCATGCATGCTGGACAACGACTCTACCACTAAGTTATATCCTCATCCCGTCGTAAATGTTGATACAGGGCTCAATAAGTTGACCGGCTTGGCCTTGAACTCATGATACAGACCAAGCAGGCCTTGAATTTGTAATCCTTGTAGCTGCGATTACAGATGTGTACCAACACTAATTACCCACTTAAACAAATTAAAAGAATTACTAGTTAAAAGAATTGACAAATGTATTCTTTGCTCAATACAGCTATGCTTAACACTGAAAGATCCAGAGTTGGTGGTGGCACACGCCTTTAATCCCAGCAACTGGGAGGAAGGGGCAGACAGATCTCAGTGAGTTTGAGGCCAGCCTGATCTACAGAACAGGACAGCCAGGACTACACAGAGAAACCCTAGTTCTAAAAAACGAGAGGAGAAAGGGGAAAGATGGGAGAGAGGGTAAGAGAGGAGAGAGGGAGTGGGGGAGAGACCTAAAATCATACTAGTGAAGAACACAATAAAAGTGGTGGTCTCACCATCAGAAGAGGGTGGAGTGGTCCCAAGTGGTGTGACTGGGGTTGTTGGAGTAGGACTGACAGGGGTTGTCACCAACCCCATTTCTGGATGGCTCTGAAAGAGGAACAGATGGGTAAGAAAACAGAAAATCATGCTTGCTGGATCACAGTGAGACTAGCAGCTCATTGAGGACCTGCATTTAGTGCCCCTGAATGCTTGTTTACCACTGAAGCCTGCCAAGTTCTAACAAGAAGTACTGTGGGTTAATTTTCATTTTGAGATTTGGGTTCCATTACAGAAGCTTTTCTGTGGAACCACATTAAAAATAAATACATTATTCAGATGTATGAACTATTTTCATGACCACAGAATTGACAAATAGACACAGATAAACCAAGGGGATGCTAGGAACCATAAAAAGAGCTATGGTGATGGCAGCCTTACAGTTAAAAAAAAGAAAAGGGCGTGCGGGCTAGCAAGACGGCTTAGAGGGTAAAGTACTTGTCGCCAAGCAAGACGGCTTAGAGGGTAAGGTACTTGTCGCCAAGCAAGACGGCTTAGAGGGTAAGGTACTTGTCCCCAAGCAAGACGGCTTAGAGGGTAAGGTACTTGTCGCCAAGCTGAGGACCCACATGGTAGAAAGATAGAACCAACTCCCCAAAGTTATCCTCTGACGTCTACACTAATGCCTCCCCAACACACACACACACAATGTAAGGAAAACACATGCAAGAGTATGGTAGAATGTGAAGGCAGAAGTGACCGTGTCCTCAGTTTTCCTTAGCCATTGCCACATCAACTGGGAAGCTCAGGAGCAGCTCTCTTTAGGGTCCCTTTCCCTTTTCTTCCTTTTTAAGAAAGTTACAACTTTATGTGTGCTGGTGTTTTGCATGTATGTCTGTGTGAGGGTGTCAGATCTTGGAGCTAGAGACAATAGTGGCGCCAAGAGAGCCATTTTCCACCTGTTCCCTTTTCAACAACTTGGCCCGTCTTTCATCTCTTCTTCTACGGAGTCAGTTATGGAATTTGACGGACAGACAAGAATCTTGGTAAGAATAGTAGATAAACTTATCTTATGAAAACTAGTAAGAGTCCAAAACACACCCCAAAATAGCATATTGTTTTCAAAACATAAACTTACTTTTTAGTTAAAATTCTACTAGTGGATTCCTTTAGAAGAAACAAAAGAAACATACTCATGCATGGTCACATATGCTTTTAATCTCAGAATTCAGGAAGCAGAGACAGGTAGATCTCTTGAGTTCAAGGACAGCCTGTCAGGCATACACAGTGAGATCCTGTATCACTTTTAAAAAAGAAACTTACATACACCTTTTAAACAGTGTGCCATTAAGATAAAATAGGCTACTGTCCTAGCTTGTTTTAGTCCCTTCCTGTGTCAACTACCCCTTGGCTTCAATGTGTGTACACTATTTTGTGTCAACAGCTACCACATCCTGGTTACAATGTGTTTTTTTACTTTTGCTCTCTGTTAAGATAATGGCATAAGTGATTTAGCCTATTGTATCTACAGTTGTAATTAAATGCCATGAAGTTTAGAAAGAAGACAAGTCTAACAAAAAAAAAAAAAACATAAACTCCACAGAGTAAATAATACCAGCAGACTCTAATAGGCAAAATGTAGTAATTTCAACTCTTTTTCTATTTTTCATAGTTTTTCTGTGTTATTTTTTATTTTAAATTTTATGTTCATTAGTGTTTTATCTGCATTGTATGTCTGTGTGAAGGGATCAGATTCCCAGAACTGGAGTTACAGACAGCTGTGAGCTACCATGTGGTGCTGGGAATTGAACCCCGGTGCTGGAAGAGCAGCCGGTGCTCCTAAGTCTCAGCCATCTCTCCAGCCCCATCTCAACTCTGTCGAATGGTAACAGACTCAGTAAACTAGTCCAGTCATTAATCTTGCATGCCATTAGACCTACTTCAGTGCAGGCACCAGCTAAACACATTCATTTGAGGGCAGAACAAAGCATAGGCAACTGATGCAACGCCGTTACAACCACTGATTGATGCAGAACAGAGTTTAAATAGGCACAGGCAAATGAACTTTTTTTAAGACAAGGTTTCTCTTTATAACACTCTTAGCTCTTCTGGAACTAGCTCTGTAGACCAGACTGGCCTTAAACTCAGAGATCCACCTAACTGCCTCTGCCTCCCAAGTGCTGGGATCAAAGGCGTGCGCCACCACTGTCAGCTCAGATGAACTTTTTAATGGAATAAATCTGTATGAAATTTAAGGTGAAGTCTGAGAATATAGCTCAGGGAAAGCATTTGCCTAATATGTACAAGGTCCTGGATTTGATCCCACAACATCATAAAAACTAAAGATAAATAAATAAAATTTGAGGGAGAAAGGGATTGGGGAGGGGCTGGCCTGGAACTCGATATATAGCTCAGGCTGTACTTGAACTCATAGAGATCCACCTACTTCTCTCCCCAGTGCTAGTATTAAAGGTGCAGGCCACCACACCCAGCCAGGATTGGGACTTTTAAGATAACCAACCTGAGCTAATACTGTGATGAAGTTTCGATTTAAATGGACAGCTTCATAAAGTGCCAGAAGAATGGCCTCATTGGTCCTAAAGAAAAGAGAACAAATAAGAGAGTAGAAAAATGTGAGACATTATAGCCATCAAGAGCTCCTCATCGGCCATGTCTTTAATCCCAGCACTCGGGAGGCAGAGGCAGGTGGATCTCTGTGAGTTCGAGGCTGGGCTGGACCGACAGCCTCAAAAACAATACAGAGAAACCCTGTCTTGAAAAACAAAAAAACAAAAAAGAGCTCCTTGTCCTCCACCCCTATATTTTTACCCTTTGGATATGCAAAAGACACAGGGTAAGAACCTGAAGCCCCAGGCCCAGTTCTTCCGGCCCCTACCCAGCTAAAACTGTGAGGCTATACCCAGCCCTCAGTCATTTCATTCCAGAAACAAAGCTAGTGACGGTGACCTAACACTCAGGAGGCAGAGGTAATAGGATTGCTACAAGTTTGAGGGCAGCCAGTATCTATACAGAGTTTCAAGGCAGCTAGGACTACACATAGCAAGGTCATGTCTCAGGTCCTTACTTTTGCTTTCTTTAACTCAGGGTCTCATGCTGTCCAGATTGGCCTTAGCTCACTATGTAGCAAGGGATGATGGTAAATTTCTGATCCTCCCATCTCCACCTCAGGAGCGCTAGAATAACAGGCATATGCCAAGCATGACCAGTTTATTTAATGGTGATGATCAAGCAAGGACTTCATGCAGGCTAAGCAAGCATTCTATCAATCCCAGCCTCTAAAATAGAGATCTCCAAGAATCCATTGTTGCTTAAAACCAAAGAAACACTTCAGAAATCATTTTTAAAAAGTTTTAAATCTGTAAATGGCTGACAGGAGGTTACATTTTCTGCTCTCCACTCTCACACTCGGCAAGAGAGCCCAAACAAAGTGCAAGTACTTACTGTACTGAGATTTTCTCAGGGGCATCTGCTATGAACATGCTGCCCACCTGTGGAAGGAAGGGGGAATCACACATTTTACACAGGAGGCCAGGAGAGCGGGCGGCTCTGTGCCTAACTGAGAATTTAATCAGTGAAAAACTGATGTAGTAGCAAAAAGCAAGGAACTCTGGGTCATCAGTGACACAAAACCCAGACCACTTTGAAAACTTACCAACAATAAATTAGATAATGAGATTCCTACTAAATCATCTAGCCTTTCAAAGTGTTAAGTTTAGTAACGTCATCAAGGTAGATGTCAACCTAAATGCTCCAATCACTGCATGCCTCCTAGCAGGCGGCATTTGCAGTCAGAAACTGACTCACCCACAACTTCAAACTTGTCTTGATTCCTCACAGCTATAATCCAAAACTCACAAGTCCAAGGTGAGTCTGGGCTACACAGGCAGTGGGGGCCAACCTGAGCTACAGTGTCAGACCTGTCTCAAAGGAATACAATTTTAAACTTCAGAGAAAGTAGCTAGAGCTGTCTATGGAAACCTGGTCTCCTTTCGGATCACAGGGTCTTAGTTTACATCCTGTCAAGGAAAGCAAATAAATAACAGACACACACTGCCTTTAATGTTTATGATATCAGAAGTCAGATGTGGTGGTGTACGCCTCCTTGAGAAGCAGAGAGAGGGTCAGGAGAGCTCAAGGTCACCCTCAGCTATATAACAAGTTAATGCCATCCCGGGTTTCATGAGACCCTACCTTAAAAAGAAATGAAGATGCCTGAGAACAATATAATCTAATTCATGTAAACAAGTATCAATATAAAATTCACGATTCCATAGCCTCTGAGACATTTGTATGATTTATGCCTCAGAGTTAAAGCATTTATAAGATTCTTTTGAAATCAGGCTCAGGCCGGGCGTTGGTGGCGCACGCCTTTAATCCCAGCACTTGGGAGGCAGAGGCAGGTGGATCTCTGTGAGTTCAAGGCCAGCCTGGTCTACAAGAGCTAGTTCCAGGACAGCCTCCAAAGCCACAGAGAAACCCTGTCTCGAAAAACCAAAAAAAAAAAAAAAAGAAAGAAACCAGATTTCTTTATATAACCCAGGCTAGCCTCAAATTCATAGTTTTCCTGCCTCAGCCTTCCCAATTATAGGATTAATCTGCTACTAAACCCAGTTGTACTTTTTTTTTTTTTTTTTTGGTTTTTTTTCGAGACAGGGTTTCTCTGTATTGTTTTGGAGACTGTCCTGGAACTTGCTCGGTAGACCAGGCTGGCCTCGAACTCACAGAGACCCGCCTGCCTCTGCCTCCCAAGTGCTGGGATTAAAGGCGTGCGGCACCAATGCCCGGCCCAGTTGTACTTTTTATTTACTAATTAGTCAGGAAAAAAAAAAATCAGTCCCAGAAAAATCAAAGTTCCCATCTTCCCTATTTAACCTAGTTTTTAAAATTTGATAAAAATGCTTGGTTCCAACCAGGTCTGGTGGCCCACAATATAGCCAGAATTTGGAAGGATAAGGCAGAAGGACTGTCATGAGACTCCAAATGAAGGAAATACAGTTCTAAATAAAATCGAATCTTCTCTGAATACCCACTCTTCTCCTCACACCATTACCTCAAAGATATCTGAACTGAGCCCAAATTTGCCCACCCCTGAAGGTTTCCTGTACTTCTCAACAGGAAGGAAAAAACACAAGTAGAACTTACCATATTTGTTAAGGCAGAGAAAAAACCACTCTGGTGTTCTTCTTCCTTGTCTTTATACTGCCTAAAAAGATAACTAAATTAAACTTCAGGATTTTTTAACAAGTATATATTCAACCCTGACATTCTAGGTAATCAGGGCAGAGTAGTCTCAGAATGTCTGACTCTAAAGCATGATGACGCTCTAGCCACGGCCCCCGCAAGCTGAGATGCACCCATCTGCTCGTGAGGGAGTGCGTACCAGAAAGCCTGGCTACTTTGGGAGAGACTTAGAAAGCAAGCTGCAGAAGTGTGAAATTCCTCTAGCATATGGCTGATCTAGTTATTTCCCAAACAGATGATTACTTGAAAAGTGTGGCAGTGAAAATTCTTTCAGGCTGTGACAGTGAAAACCTTGTTTGTTTGAAGAAGGAAGAAAGTTGAAGAGCTAAAACATTTGTGGAGATGGGACATACCGGCTGGCCCTTAGTAGGATTACAGATACTTTCGGGTTCTACTCATGGAATGCCAAATCCTTCCCTACCCATGGGATGAAGAAAAACAAGCAAGCATCGACTTAAGAGAGCCTGAGACTAAACAAGGACTCTGGGAAGTTGAAATCATTAATGAAAAAGAAACATCTGGCTCATGAGTGTAATTCAGTAACAGAGGTTGTTCTTAGCCTGAAGGCAGAGGCACGTGATCTCCACGTTTGAGGCCAGCCTGGTCTACAGAGCAAGTTTCAGGACAGGACAGCCAAGGCTACACAGAGGAAACCTGTCTAGAAAAAAAAAGAAGAATTTTAAAGTGGTATTTCAGAAGCTTTCTCACATGGAGTTCTTTTTTTTTTTTTTTTTTTTTTTTGGTTTTTCGAGACAGGGTTTCTCTGTGGCTTTGGAGGCTGTCCTGGAACTCGCTCGGTAGTCCAGGCTGGTCTCGAACTTACAGAGATCCGCCTGCCTCTGCCTCCCGAGTGCTGGGATTAAAGGCATGCGCCACCAACGCCCGGCCAGCTTTCTCACATGGAAAATGGTATTTCCATGACACACTGGGTAAAGGGAAAACATGCTTTGTAACTATGAAGCTAGTGAAATGCTCTATAACAAAACACCAAAGGCTGAAAAGGAATGTGCCTCATTGTTTGAACTAAAGGTGGACACTAACTTGATGGCCGCCCTGCCCTGGCGATAGAAAACAAAGCCCCTCGGACACCATCAAGCTGAGCATGTACATCTCTTCCAGTCAGATCTCTACCTGTGCTTTTGGGATAGGTTAGGAATTTTCACCTAAGAATTCTAACAAGCCTCTTCCCTACTCACCCAGTCAAGAGGAAATTAGTTTTCTCCCCTGTGGAAAAGCAGACTCACCTGTTGTACTCAGATAAAGCCTGAGTGATCACAAGCCCCATACCCTGGAAGAGAAAACACAGCACAGCTGAAATAAGCAAGGAGCCTTCCGGTATTGGTGGCATTGCTATAGCTCAGCCAGGGACTTTAAACCCAAGAAGTTCTGCCAGAAAGCTGGTGTCAAGGACAGAAATTCTAAGAACAATTTTTGTTTGTTTTGTCAAAGTAGTGAAAATTCTAAACTAAGGACAGAGAAAAGCAACCCTCTTAGAAAAGATTGTTATCTAATTATTTTGCTTAATATTCCCAAAGATCATTTAAAATTGAGTAACAAGAGGCAAAACAGACCAGTTCACTGGGATCATTTTCACTTCTGAAGAGACGACTATGCGAAAGATGCATATAAAAAGACTCATATAATCCCGAACAGCCACAACAAGAGTGACAGTGAGTCTCAGATTAAATGAAGATGAATATAAGCAAGCCACTCTCAGGCTGCAAGAAAACAGGAAAGGGCTGGTGAGAGGGTGCAGTAGGTAGAGACTATTGCTCTGAGGGCCTGAGTTCAATCCCCAGGGCTCATAGAGTGAAAGAAGAGCCGTGACTCCTGCAAAACACACACACACACACACACACACAGTAAAATGTAATAAATTGCCGGGCGGTGGTGGCGCACACCTTTAATCCCAGCACTCGGGAGGCAGAGGCAGGCGGATCTCTGTGAGTTCGAGGCCAGGCTGGACCGACAGCCTCCAAAACAATACAGAGAAACCCTGTCTCGTAAAACAAAACAAAACAAAACAAAACAAAAAAAAAGTAATAAAATTTTGGTGGTGGGTTTTTTTTTGTTGTTGTTGTTTTGGGTTTTGTTTGTTTGTTTTTTGGAGACAGGGCCTCACCACAAAACTAGCCTTGGATGTCCTGGAACTCATTATGTAGACCAGGCTGGCTTTGAACTCACAGAGATTCACCTGCCTTTGCCTACCAAGTGCTGGTATTAAAGTCATGTGGCCAGCATAATTTTATTAAAAATTAAAGAAAACAGGAAGGGAAAGGAAAAAAGCATAGAATAAATATTAAAATAACTTAGGTAGAGTTTGAATGTAATTGGCCTCCATAAGCCTATAGGGAGTGGTACTATTAGGAGGTGTGCCTTTGGAGTAGGCGTGACCTTTTTGGAGGAAGTGTGTCACTGTGGGCTCTGAGGTCTCCCTTGCTCAAGTTTCACTCAGTGTGACCACTGTTCAGCAGTTTCTATCTTTTTAATGTCCACTGAAAATAAGGCCACTGCAGCCAGGCGGTGGTGGCGCACGCCTTTAATCCCAGCACTCGGGAGGCAGAGGCAGGCGGATCTCTGTGAGTTCGAGGCAGGGCTGGACCGACAGCCTCCAAAACAATACAGAGTAACCCTGTCTCATAAAACCAAAAAAAAAAAAAAAAGAAAAAAAGAAAGAAAAAGAAAATAAGGCCACTGCAAGCAAGTAAGACAATATCAAAAAGTCCAGAACTCAGATACTCACATTCAGTGTAGCCTCGTCATCCACAATAGACAGCTTCACAATATAAGGATTCACAGACTATTAAACAAGAGAAGAATGAAGGTAAGTATGACCAAGTTAAGAAAGCCTGGTAGCTAATTAAAGTAGTAACAAAAGTGCATCTGCAAGCCCTCTTTCCACCATCATGCTCCCGATACCCAAACCCAAAGCATCTTGCCTGCTAACAGTTCCCATTTCAGGGAATCTCTCACCTCAGGGGGCATCTGTCAAGTGCACATGTATCTGTGTGCACATACACACAAATGTCAGTTCTGTTCTACCTACATTTTCCTCTGGGTTGAATTAGCTCATATCTATGTTCATCTGCCTCTCCTATTTTTCCTTTTTCTAAAAAGTGAACACTCTGAAAAACTCATTTGTTCTGTCCTATGAGTCCATAGGGATAGCTGTCTTTTGGGAGAAATAAAACCTTCGCTCCCTTAAGACATATATTTGTTCATTGCTAACTTACACTCTCATCCCAAAGGCTCCGTAACCATTTCAAAACTACATGCAAGGACTGATTCGCCCACCCGTAAAACAAAGCCACCTCAGGGGTGGGAGGTGGCAGCTGCTTAACAGCCAGAGAGGCCATTTATGGAGATCTGATAACCAAATAACACTGCAGGGGGTACTGCAGAAAAGGATGTTATTACCCAAGCAACAATCTGGTCAGGACACTGGGATTTAATGATTGTCCCATCGCTTACAACACAGGAAGATTACTTGAGTTTTTCCAGACCTAGTCTCAGCTGGGCACATATTTAAACTCATTAAAGATATGACTACTTCTTAAAAGTGGGATGAGAGCCAATGACCTGCTCACCTTAAAAACATCCCACCCACAGGCTGTGAGGAAAGTTCTCCTGAGGACCAAGCACCAATTCCAACCCAAGGAGAGACAGTAACAAAAGTGCTCAGGCTGGCAATTTTTACAGCTACCAAGAAAACTCATTACTAAGAAACCTGAAACCAAAACTGAAAAGCTAATCCCCACACAGACCTCATTTAATCAAGTTTCAAAGCACATCTTTCACATCAACTGGGGACAGAAAAACAAAGTTTTATTATGTTTTACATTTTTACAATACAAACTGTCAAGATCCGATGCAAGGAGATTCTTGGAAAGGAAAATCAGCAGCTGGCCGACCTAGAGATGTTACCATGTTGACAGCAACTTTAGAAAAAGCAAAGCACTTTTTTTTTTTGAAACAGGGCCTCACTATGTAGCCCTGGCTGTCATCCTAGAATTTGCCCTGTAAACCAAGTTAGAACTTAAATCCGCCTGCCTCTGCCTCCCGAGTACTAGGATTAAAAGGATGCACTACCACTGCCCGGATCTTTACTTATTTCTTATATCTGACTAGTCTCTGATATCTTTAACCCTTTCTAGAAAGATTTACAACTTGTCTTACTGGTCATGGGATTAACTCCTGTAGTAGCTAAAATATTCCCCCCAGCATACCTTCTCCTACTGGTTTGCATAAAATTTCACTGGCTTTTAATTTAGCTATGTTCATTTGGAATTCCTCATACCCTTGTCAAAAGCCTTCCTGTTCCACTCTAATTGGGCTTCTTTAATGGCATCTAGTGAGTGACTTATATCCAGGGCTGTAAAATTCAGAGAAAGCATGCCCACCAGCTTGCCCTCGCTGGGTGTATTCATTCTTCTGGGGTTTCTGACACAACAAAGATGCGTACCTCACTCTAGAAATACAATTTTCTCCAGCTACTGGCTGTGTCCCATTTTTCAGGCTGACACTTCAGAGCCCTACTGGGCTGATCCACGGTTCACTTTGCACTTAGAGAAGCCAAGCCACTGCCTCAAAACAGCTATATCCACCAGAAGGCTGTGAAATACTCATTAGTGACGATAGCACACTCCTGTCACACAGAACTCAACTTCTTCTGCTTTCCTCTGCATTTTTCCTCGGCTATTTTTCTTGCTGGTGTAATAAGGCCCCATAGGCTTTTACACATGACAGAGATCACGATGTCTCCCACAGCAGAACCTCCAGATTGCCAGTAGAAACAGGTATTGATGACAAATTACATGTTTATCTACATTCCAAGACAATAAAAGTGACCAGCTCTTGGGATTTCTAGCACATCAACATTATTCCACACGCTCCAGTCTCTCCTAAGTGTCCCTTCTAACGGCCTCTCCTCATGACAATAAGCTACCCATCCCTTCAGTGTTTCTGAATGAATTCACTCAGTGGTGCAGGCATGATGGCACATGTCTGCAGTCACAGGACCTGGGAGGCTTGGGCAGGAGATCCCTGAAAGCTAGACACCAGCTTAGACCACACAGCAAGTACAAGGACAACCAGCTAGGCCCGTGGGAGGGAGGCAGGGAGGGAGGGAAGAACCCTCAGAGTCAAAATCTCAGAAAACTACTTTTAAAAGTCCTGTCATCACAGCTCACATCCCATGGCAAAACACCGATGCACATAAAATAAAAATTAATTAAAAAAAGAAATGTTTAAACGTAAAAAAAAAAAAGTCCTGTCATCAGCCAGCACACTTTTCAGCTGACCGGCTAAGAAGAGACCATATTTCTCAGAGCCCCCACTTATTAGTGAGGAAGCACCCGACTTCAGAGAGCTGGTTAGTGTCAAGGACCCCTTTCCAGCTGCCTCCTACTCCTCAGGGCGATCCCTCAGAAGGATCCTGGCCTCCCTCAGCAACCTCCCTCCATCTCCATGCAGTCTGCCTTGAGAGGAATAAGGCAAATACACCAATCTCTGAGTTCTGGTTTTCATTTCAAAAACGGAAACCAAGAGCCTCACTGGGTATGGTGCCACACTGGATATGGTGGGAGACTGAGGCATGGCTCACCACCAATTTGGGGCCAGCCTGAGCTATAGCATGAAACTCTGTATTGAAAGGAGGGAGGAAAGGAGGGAGGGAGAGGTGTGCTGGTGGTGGGGGACCACAGTGACTCACTAGGAAGGTGAAAGTAGGAAGGGTAGTTCAAACCCAGCTTGGACTGTATGAGATCCTGTCTTCAAACTAACATTACAGCCAGGTGAGATAGTGTGCACTGTAGTTCAAGCAGTGAGTAGACCTTGAAGTAGGATTGCCAAAACTCTGAGGTCAGCACAAAGGGTGTGGGAGGGTAGCCTACAGTATTGTTAAAGATAAAGCAATATCTTCAACTAAAATCTTCATTAAAGCCCGGCGACAGTGGCAGTGATGGTACAAGCCTTTAGAGGCAGAGGCAAGCGGATATCTGTGAGTTCAAGGCCAGCCTGGTCTACAGAGTGAGTTCCAGGACAGGTTCCAAAGCTACAGAGAGACCCTATCTTGAAAAACCAAAAAAGAAAAAAAATTAAAATCAGAGTTCAGTCCAGTAGTGGTGGCCCGCACCTTTAATTACAGCATTCAGGAGGCAGAAGCAGGGGGATCTCTGTGAGTGTGAGGCTAGCCTGATCTACAAAACAAGTTCCAGGACAGCCAGAGCTACATAGAGGAAACCCTGTCTCGAGGAAAAAAAAAGTCAGAGAGCTCTTAGACCAGCAGAGATACTTACACATAGACCGCTTAATGAATAAGACATATAAAACAAGTCTTGTCAGAAATAGTCAGAGGCCTGCACATCATAGAACTGAGTCAGGGATGTGGAGGGAAGATTTACAGAGGCACGAGGATCACTCATGACTCCCAGACCAGCCTGCTATACATACTGAATTCTAGGCTAGTCAGGGCTACATAGCAGCCTATTAAAAAAAATATATATGTTGGAATTAGAGAAATGGCTTAGTGATGAAAAGCACTTGCTGTTCTTGCAGAAGACCCTGGTTAAGCTCTCAGCATCCATGTCATACCAGATAACACAACTACAACTACAGGTAACCCCAGTTCCAGGGGAACCCAATGCCCTCCTCTGGCCTCTAAGCATAACTGCATGCATGTAGTACACATACATGCACTCAGTCACACACACATACAAGTAAAATAATCTTCCAAAGCAGATGCAGTAGGCCTGTGATTTCTTTTTCTTTTATTTTTTATTAAAGTTCTTTTTTTCCTTTTTTTAAGATTTATTTGTTTATTATGTATACAAGTTTCTGCCTGCATGCATGCCTGCACGATAGAAGAGGGCACCAGATCTCATTATAGATGGCTGTAAGCCACCATGTGGGTGCTAGGAATTGAACTCAGGACCTCTGGAAGAACAACCTGTGCTTTTAACCTCTGAGCCATCTCTCCAGCCCCAGGTCTGTGATTACTAACGCTGGTTTATTTCCTACATGGAAATTCATTTTGTTTTGCTGGGGGTTGGTTGGTTGGTTGGTTGGTTGGTTGGTTTGTTTGTTTTGAGACTTTGTACCCCAAACTAGCCCAGAATTCACCATGTAGCACAAGCTGTCCTTGAATTTGTGGCAGGACTCCTGTCTCAGTATGCAAGGTGCTGAGATTACAGCCTTACCCAGCTTCCGTTGAGGACCTTTTAAAAAAACAAACAGTCCCTCTCCCACAAATTCTGATTCAGTGCGATACAACCAGAGTTAATACAAACCCTTGTTTTATTATTATTTTTTAAAAGTTCCTGCCAGGTTTTGATGGTGCACACCTCTAATCCCAGTACTAGGGAGGCAGAGGCAGGCAGATCTCTGTGAATTCAAGGCCAGCCTGGACTACAGAGCAATCAGGGCTAACTGAAAAGAACTTTTCTGGGGAAAAAACAAGTTCCTAGAGGGTTGAGCACAGTGGCCAATACTTTAATTCTAGCACTCAGGAGAGACAAGCAGGTCTTTGTGAGTTACAGGCTGGCCAAGGATATGTGGTAAAACTGTCTCAAAAAAAAAGTGAACACAACAAAACTTCCTCGGTAAAAACCAGACAAGGTAGTAAATGCCTATAATGCCAACACTCAGGAGGTCAAAGAATGGATGAGTAGTCAAGGTTGTCCTTAGCTACAAAGTGAATGAGGCCAGCCTAAGCTACTAGAGACCCATCTGGGGAAAAAATAGGTGGGGGGAAGGAAATGGCTCAGTGGTTAAGAACACTGGTTGCTCTTCCAGATGGTGTGGGTTCGATTCCAGCACCACCATGGTGGCTCACAATCATCTGTAACTCCAGTTCAAGGGGCTCTGATGTCCTCTTCTGACCTCCATGGATACCAGGAACATGCATGGTGCACAGACATACATGCAGGCAAAATAGCCATACTCATAAAATAAAACTTCTTTTAAGGGAAGAAAAAGAAAGAATACAGCTTACCAAGAGTGTGTCTTCTATATATTCAACAGTTTAAGATGGCTGCTGTGCCCAGCAAGATGATGATGTAAAAACAACTGTACACTAGGAGCCGCCTACCTCATATTTTCTGTAGTTCACCAGCAAAGCCAAGAGGACAACAGCATCATAGCCATGCTCTCTACGACTTGGAGGATGGGACAGTATCTGTAACAAGATACAGAGTGTATAATAATAACTAAGGCTAAGCCCTGATCCCAGGGACGACTAAAATCTGAAGAGCTTGTCTATCTACAAGAGAAAGGTCATCAGGAAGTTGACCTACCTGTAAAATTGCTTCAAATATACTGTTGATCATTACATATTCCAGGATAGTGTTCTGACTGATGTTGTCTGTAACCTAAATGCAATGAAAAGCTTTTAAAAGTCTGAGCCAATGCACCTGACATCTCATGTGTGTATCTCTTCTTTTTTTCCATGTGTATCTCTTACCCTAGCATCTACGTGGAAAAAAAGTTAAAGCAACGAGCAAACAAAAACTATCCCAAGAATGTGAATCCCAAGAACCATTTTCAGGTGAGACCCAATGAAAAGGAAAAATCAGACAATCCAAGAGTTCTCCTAGAATAGTCCTTCTAACATGGTATACATCAACTGGGAAGATGACTCAGCAGGTTAGGGCCCTTGCCACTAAGCCTAATGATCTGAGTTCCATCCTGGGGCCCACATGGTGGAAGGAGAGAACTCCTGAAAGTTGTCTTTTGACCAATATGACTTTATGTATGGGGAAGGGGACACACCCACACATGCGCGCGCACACACACACACACACACACACTTTTTAAAATGTTTAAGCAAAATAAAAAAATCAAGTGGCAAATATCATATAGCCTGTAGGCTAAAAATGCCAGCAGCTGCTCAGAGGTTAATTTCCAAAAAGCACAACTCCACACAACTAACTTCCTCCTATACATTAAGACAAAAGGGAATGAATGATATAATACCCCAGTAAAGAATTGCTCTTTCACCTTTGGGAGGAAGTATTCCACTAGCCGTGACTCTGATGTAATGAATACCCGTAACAAACACATAGGTGGTCACTTACAGTCACTAAGCAAAGAAGAAGTTTCAGACATAAACTCTTCAGACTTTCAGAACCTTCTGCGCACAGTAATGAATCCAAACTCTCCATCAAGTTCTGGGAAAGAGAACCATAAACATTAAAGCACACCAAGCAACATTTACACCCCATCTTTACCCAGTGTTGTGTTATGATACACAGGAATAAAGTGAATAACTGTCAATCAACAGTATCATTTCCCTAGTCCACGATCAAAGAAAAAGACTTCAAAGTCTGCTACTTGGGGGAAAATGTTTTAAACAACTGCAGAGAATAATAGGGTATTCATTTCTGTACTACATGAATGTTTGAAGCTTTATACATATGTAACCATGAGATTAGAACAATGAAGTAGTTTAGGAAAGGGAAACATAATGGTTTAGTAATTATACATGATTTCATTACTTGTTAAAGAAAGTGCATCATGCAGGCACACTAAACCAGTAACAGAAACAGTATCAGTTCACTCCTGGGCATAAATAGCCATATAAGCAATCAAACAAAACTGGCTTGGTTCATCTACAATTGACAGTACGATTGGAATTTGATGCTTGCACTAAAAAAAGAAAAGAAAAAGCTTTTAGACATAAACTAATAAAAGGTAAAACCTTCATACTATGATAGAGAGAAGAAGAAAAAATATTCTACATTAAATAAGGGGAAAAGTTGGGTGGTGGTAGCACACACCTTTAATCCCAGCTCTCGGGAGGCAGAGGCAGGCAGATCTCTGTGAGTTCAAGACCACCCTGGTCTATAAGAGCTAGTTCCAGGACAGCCTCCAAAGCCACAGAGAAACCCTATCTCAAATAATAATAATAATAATAATAATAATAATGGGGAAAATTTAAGGTTATAGAAATGGCTCAGTAGTTAAGAGCACTTGTTCTTACAGAAAAATCTGGATTTTTGATTCCCAGAAACCACACAGTAGTTCAAAGCCAGCTATAACTCAGTTCCAGGGGATGCAATGAGATCTTCTGGACACTGAGGGCACCAGGTTATGTATGTACATGATGTACACATGCATGAAGACAAAAGACAACAAAACAACTCACACACATAAAACAAATAAATAAATCCCTAAAAAAAAGAGTAGAATTAAGGATTCAGCATGTTGGATTTTCAAAATGAAGATTCAAAATAAAATGTTTCAGCCGGGTATGGCTTTACTTCCAGCACCGGGAGGCAGAAGCAGAGAGATCTCTGTGAGTTTGAGGCCACTCTAACACACATATTGAGTCAGTGATTTCTATGACAGCCAGGACTACAAAACAGAAAGACCCTGCCTCAAAAATAAAACAATATGCTTCAGTTAAATTAAGCAATGTGATCATCTACCCTTTCAAAGCAAGACCTTGAAGCTTGCACATGTTTTTAGATTAAAGAGAAAGACAAAAGAAAGTAATTTCAAGTCTTCTAACCTCCATACTATGCCATGGTACTCATGTGCGCACACACATAAATAAAATGTTATAAAGTTTTTTTGATAAGGGGCTGGAGAGATGGCTCAGAGATTAAGAGCACTGGCTGCTCTTCCAGAGGTCCTGAGTTCAATTCCCAGCAACCACATGATGGCTCATAACCATCTGGTGCCCTCTTCTGGTCTGGAGGGACACATGAAGACAGAACACTGTGTAAATAACTTAAATCTTTTTTTAAAAGTTGTTTTGATATTAATAACAAAGCTCCTGACATCAACCCCTGACCTACACACACATACACACATACACAGAAGAGCTTAGCACAGTGTTACATGCCTGTAATCCCAGCACTAGGAAGGAAAAGACAGGAAGATTTTGGGGCCTGTGGACCAGCTAGTCTAGAGCTCCAAGATGCAGTGAAAAAACTTGTCTCAAAAAAATAAGGTGGAACACGATAGAAGACACTCAATGTCGACCTTTGCTCTCCTCATGTACCTTCATACAAACATATACACAGTACTCTCTCTCTCTCTCTCTCTCACACAGACACACACACACACACACACACACATTTTTTTTTTGAGGAGGAAAGGGACACCAGCTAGACCTTAGAATAATCAAAGCTACATGGGGAGGGCTGGGAGTGTAGCTCACTGACAGAGTGCTTGCCTAGCTTTCATGAGGCTGTGGGTTCAATCCCAAATGTAAACCAGGCATATGTCTATAATTCTAGCACTCAGAAGCATCATATTTTTTCTTTTGGGAGACAATTAAAACTGGTTTTTAAACTAAAAGTGATGATATTTGTTAAATTTAAGGATCAACTATACAATATGTGAATTATGAAAGTGTTATTATAAAAAGATAGTGTCTTAGTGCTAAAGCCCTGTCTATCATGAACCATGCACAAAACCATAGGTTTGATCTGCACAAGGCGGGAGGGGAGCAAGAGGAAAAGGAGAAGCAGAAGGAAAAACTTAGTTTCAAATGCCGGATATAAAATCCGAAGGCCTTGGGGCTGGAGAGATGATGGCTCAGCAGCTAACAGCACTGGCTGCTCTTGCACAGGGCCCAGGCTGGCTTCCAGGCACTCACATGATGGTTCACAGCCATCCAGAACTCCAGAGCTAGGAAATCTGACACCCTCCTCTGACTCCCAAGGCCATCAAGCATACACACATGCAGGTAAAACACTTACACATAACATAACATGAATAAACCTAAGTTTTAAAAAAAGTTCAAAGGGCAGCAGTGGACAAAAGCACTTGTCTAACAACCCAAGTTCAATCCCCAAGACCCACATGGCAGAAGAAGAGAATCAACTCCTGAAAGTGTCCTCTGACCTCCACACACCCACTAATCCACACATACAAGTGTGTCAGTAAATATGGAAGCATAATTTTTAAATTTAATTCAAGCCAAGCATGGTAGTATGTGCCAATAGTCCCCAGCCTACTCAAAAAATTACAAAGAGTTTTTTAAAAAGTCTATGCAAGAGCTGGAGAGATGGCTCTGAGGCTACAAGCACTGGCTGCTCTTCCAGAGGACGCAGGTTCAATTCCCAGCACCTACATGGCAGCTCACAACTGTTTGACTCCAGTTCCAGGACATCCCTCTCACACACAGGCAGGAGAGACACCAATGCACACAAAATAAGTCTTAAATAAATAATTTTTTAAAAAGTTCTACCCACCAGGACAACACAGAGAAACCCTGTCTCAAACACACACACACACACACACACACACACACACACACACAATCCTATGCTGTGTAATTAAGTATGCAGCCAGCCTCAGCTACGCAAGACCCTGTGTCAAAGCGGAAGCAAGCAAGGGTTCTTGGTAGCAGAGCATTCGCCTTCCCTGTACAGCAGCGCGGTTTCATTGCTACCACCACAAAATACTGACCCTGTAACTTTTCATATCTTATCCAAGTTCATACATGTCATAAAAACCTGGGTGGCAGTAATGCACACCTTTCAACTCAGCACTCAGGAGGCAGAGGCAGGCGGATTTCTGTGAGTTGGAGGCCAGCCTGGTCTATAGAGCAAGTTCCAGGACTGCCAGGGTTGGCTGATGCACAGAGAATTCCTGTCTCGAAAAACAAAAACAAAATCAAAAACAAAAACAAAAACAAAAAGCAAAAACCCAAGAGAGAATGTGAATCCAAATGTTCTAGCATGCCCGTGGGCAGCGGCATTACAAGCAGCGGTCAGGAACAGCTCTTCAGAGCACACGCACATCCCATGCCTCACCTTCATGCATAGCTCCGCTTTGTCAAAACCCATTAGCATGTTGATGATATCGAATCCAGATGTAGATTTATTCTTCTGGTGGACTCCTCGAATTAGTGCACACAAGGTCTGCAAAGATGAGAAAAAACAATTCTTTCTAGAGAGGAAGTCTCGAAACTAGGAATACACTAAATTTGTAGCTTCCTCCTTTAACTTCAGAACTATGTCTTGACAAGGCTAACCTTCAATTTGTTACTCTGAGTTCGAAAAGAGCTTAAATGTAAACATGGACAGTCCAGAAATTAAGAAACAGACGCACACCTGCAATGCCAGCACTGGGGGATGGAGGCACAAGAATCATAAGTTTAGGATCAGGGCCAGAGAGCTAGCTCAGCAGGTGAAGGTGCCTGACACAAGAACTGACTCTGCCAGGTGTTCTAACTCCACAGGTGCCTGAGACATGAGCATAAACACCTGCACACCAGCAAACCCACACACACACCCGTGTATGCACTTGAGCACGCACACACACACACACACACACACACACACACGCGCGCGCGCGCTCTCTCTCCCCTCTCTCCCTCCCTCCCTCCCTCCCTCCCTCCCTCCCTCCCTCCCTCCCTCCCTCCCTCCCTCCCTCCCTCCCTCTCTCTCTCTCTCTCTCTCTCTCTCTCTCGCCCTGCCAGCCTCCAGCCTAGCTAAAACATGGTGAGCTCTAGGTTCAGCAACTCTGTAAGGAAGACAGTAATAAAGACAGACATATCACTTCCTCCTATAGAGAAAAAAAACAGTGAGGAGCTAGAGAGATAGCTCAGATGGCAAGTGCTTGCCCTGCAAGATGGCGACCCAAGTTTGACCCCTGGAACCACACAGAGGTGGGAGCAAAAAAGCAACTCCACACGGTTGTCTTCTAATCTCTAGGAGCACTGTGGCATATGCACTCCCCCCCACATCATACATAGTACATACTTTTTTTTTATTTTTATTTTGCTTTTGTTTGTTTTGAGACAGGATCTCACCACAAAGCCTTGACTGGCCTAGAACTTCCTCTATAAATCAGGCTTACCTTAAACTCACAGAAATCCACCTGCCTCTACCTCCCGAGTGCTAGGATTAAAGGTGTACACCATCACAGAAAAGCACGGCCTGGAGAGATTGTTCAACCGTTAAAGGCTAGACTCACAACCAAAAATATAAGAAAAGCACTTAAATTAGACTGCAGAGATAGCCTAGTGGTTAGGAATACTTGTTGCTGTTCCAGAGCACCCTGGTTTGATTCCTGGCACCCATGCTGGGTGACTCACAATCACGATAATTTCAGGAGCAGATAACTGTGTTCATGCAACACAGACACATAACTAAAAATAATAGTAATAAATGTTTACTTATTTTTCATTCATTTTATGTGTACAGGTATTTTACCTGCATGTATGTCTGTACACCATATGCATGCCACATATCCACAGAGGGCAGGAGAGAGCACTGATTGGATCCCCCCAAGATTGGAGTTATAGATGGTTCTGAACTGCCATATGAGTGAGTGCTGGGAACCTAGGTCCTCTGGAAGGGCAGCCAGAGCTCTTTTATTATATATATAACTTATTTATTTTTACTTTATGTGCATTGGTGTTTTGCTTGAGTGTATATCTATGTGAGGGTGTCAGATCACCTGGAACTAGAGTTACAGACAGTGGTGAGCTGCCATGTGGGTGCTGAGAACTGAACCTGGGTCCTCTGAAATAGCAGCCAGTGCTCTTAACTGCTGAGCCATCTCTGTATCCCATAATAAATTTTTTTTTATTATAAATAGGGGCTGGAGAGACGGCTCAGCAGTTAAGAGCACTGCCTGTTCTTCCAGAGTTCCTGAGTTCAATTCCCAGCAACTACATGGTGGCTCACAACCATCTGTATTGAGATCTGGTGCCCTCTTCTGGCCTGCAGTTATACATGCAGGCAGAACACTGTACACATAATAAATAAATAAATCTTTTTAAAAAATGAAAAATTATAAATAAAACAGGGAGCTGGAGAGATGGCTCACTGGTTAAGAGCATTGGCTGTTCTTCCAGAGGTCCTGAGTTCAATTCCCAGCAACCACATGGTGGCTCACAACCATCTGTAATGAGACCTGGTGTCCTGGTGCAGGCAGAACACCTTATACATAATAAATAATTTTTTCAAAAAGATGTGTTACTAAGGGGGATGTCCTTCTGTGTCAGGGGCCTACAGTCATCAGCCAGATATGGCTGCCTCATGTACTCATAAGAAAAGACGTGACTCAACCCTCATAGAGATTATGTGACTCTGGACCACCCTGCTACCTCTGCTAAATTCCAGAAACAGGCCTGCAACTTAATTAGCAGTTACAAGCTCAACAGAAAGCCCCCAATTCCGCCAGGAGTTAGGCGAGATAGGAAAGATTGAGCTAGAGAAAGTAAGAACCTATGGTCAGGTTACCTAGCAACACAGGAGGTTCTACCCCCTGACCTTTTGCCCTGGGAATTAGGTTTCTAGGCAGCACAGAAGGTTACTCCTCCCACTGACCTTTGCTCCACCAGGCTCACTTCCCCTCCTCCCTTCCCCTATATAAATCCCTTTGAGATGAAATAAAGTTGTCGCCTTGATCAGACTCCTGTCTTGGCGCCCATTTTTCCCTTAGGTGCCCTCCAGCCCCCACGTTGAATGTCCCGCAGGTCGAGGCACTCCTGTATACATGTTTCTCTTATTGGTTGATGAATAAAACACTGTTTGGCCAATAAGATAGGAAGAGAGGCAAGATAAGGAAACAAGGAGAATTCTGGGAAAGATAGGCAGAGGAAGACTGCAAAAGCAGTCACCATGAAAGGACCAGGAAGAAAAAACACACCAGGCATTCTATGGTAAGATAAGACTACATGGAAATATACAGATTAATAGAAATGAGTTAATAATTAAGACAGAGATAGTCAATAAGAAGCCCTAGTCATCAGCCAACACTTTAATAATTAACATAGCATCCCATGTGTTTACTTGGGGCTCAAGGGTGGCAGGACCAGGTGGGACAAGAAAACCTACAGCAACGTGTTACATTTTAAAAAAATAAGTAGCCGGGCATTGGGGACGCATGCCTTTAATCCCAGGAGTCAGGAGGCAGAGGCAGGAGGATCTCTGTGAGTTCGAGACCAGCCTGGTCTACAAGAGCTACTTCCAGGATAGCCTCCAAAACAATACAATAGTCTCAAAAACCCAATATAAACAAATAAATAAATGAGTAAATAAAAACAGGAAGATAGTTAAATAACACAGATGTTTTATTTAAAAAAATTAAAAACAAAAGGAAAGAAAAGCAAACATGACAGCTAAAGGCAATTCTAGGTTCCTCAGCATCTAAGCCATGAGCTTCAATTCCATTTTCCTGTTAAACAAGACTTCCCAGTCTCCCAGCCTATACCTGCAAAGCATTGACAACTCGGATGGGATGCTCCTCTCCTAGAGCCTGGATACAGTGTTGAAATAAACAGTTAACATTGTCCTTGATCTTCATTAACTCCTCACCATCCAGAGACTCCAGCTTGCCTTCCAGATACTCTAAGTTCACCTGCCAAAAGAATAAGGGCCTGAGCAGACTTTTAGCACAGCACCTAGCATATAGAAGACAATGTTACTTACCCAAGATCTCCAACATGCCACCCAGTCTCACCTTCATGAGGAAGAGCTCCTCCCAAAACCGAGGACTACACTTACTGGGGTCCTCCGTCTGAAACCAGAAAATAAGCATGTTCAACTTCACTGTCAACTCAAAAAGCATCAAAAATATTGTCAACTTTAAACCTGTCAAATTTAACTTTGAAAATATTTTATCTTAAACTACATAATAGGGAAAGAGAACAAAGTTTTTTATAGGTATTGTATATGGATATATATTCTCCACACCAAAAGTAAAACAATGGCTCAAACAATTTCCTTTAAAGACTGTCCATTTAAAAAAAAAAAAGAGGGGGAGGGACACAAAGGTTAGGCCAGTCATACATGGTAGTGCATGCCTTTAAGTCAGCACTTGGGAGGCAGAGGCAAGCGTGTCTCTTGTTAGTCAAGGCCAACCTGGTCTACATAGCTAGTTCCAGAACAGCAAGGAATACATAGGCTCTGTCTCAAAAAAGAAAAATGGGTGCTGGAAAGAATATGGGCTATACGGGGGCTGGAGAGATGGCTCAGAAGTTAAGAGCACCGACTGCTCTTCCAGAGGTCCTGAGTTCAATTCCCAGCAACCACATGGTGGCTCACAACCATCCATAATGAGATCTGGTGCCCTCTTCTGGGCTGCAGGCGTACATGGAGGCAGGATGTTGTATTCATAATAAATAAATAAAATCTTTAAAAAAAAAAGAATACGGGCTATGCTTCCAGAGGACCTGGGTTCAATTCGCAGCACCCACATGGCATCTAATAAAAATCCGTAAATCTAGTTCCAAGAAATCCAAATGCCCTCCTCAGACATGAAACACACATGAACAAAATATTCACACACATAAAACAAAAACAAGAGCCGGGCGTTGGTGGCACAGGCCTTTAATCCCAGCACTCGAGAAGCAGAGGCAGTCAGATCTCTGTGAGTTTGAGGACAGCCTGGTCTACAGAGTGAGTTCCAGGACAGGCTCCAAAGCAATACAGAGAAACTCTGTCTTGGAAAAACAAAACAAAACAAAAAAATCATTAAAATAAAAATACACACACACACATACATACACACACACCACACACACACACACACACACACACACACACACACTCCCTTACCCTCAGCTATGTAACAAGGCCAGCCTGGGACACATGAAACACTGTCTCAAAATAAGAAATAGTCCTAGGGCTGGGCAGTGGTGGCACAGGCCTTTAATCCCAGCACTGAGGAGGCAGAGGCAGGTGGATCTCTGTGAGTTCAAGGCCAGCCTGATCTACAGAGAGAGTTCTCCAGGACAGCAGAGCTACCCAGACAAACCCTGTCTAGAAAAACAGAAGAAAGAAATAGAATCCTAATAGGATTCTACTATCTCCTTAACTTTTATTTTCTCTGTATAGCACTTACACTGACCAGGCAATTCTGCATTATTTTTCAATAAACCAGCGATGGCAGCACATGCCTGTAACCCAGGCACCCAGGATACCATTAAGTCCCAGACCAGAATAACAAGATCCTGCTTCAAAAAACAAAAAACAAAGAAGACCAAGGCTTGTCAATAATTGGAATTGTTTTATCTGAGTGCATTGTCTATTTGAGTGTAGCAAAGCTAAAAAGAACGAGCCTCTGGAGTCAGGAAGAAGTCAAGCTGGAGCTCCACCTCTCTGCTGTGGAAAGAGTTACTTCATCCCTGAGATGACAGTGTAATGGCCAGCGACATGGCCCGCAGGTGAAGGCCCTGCCACCAGGCCTGACAACCTGTGTTTGATCCCTAGGAACCACAGGAGAAAACAGCTGTCCTCTGATACCGCCATACCCAACCACACAAACAAGCAAGTAAATAAATAAATAAACCTCTAAAGCTTTTTGGTTTGGTTTTTAGTTTTGGGGGTTTTTTTCTTCTTTTCTCTTTTTGGGGGTTGTTTTTTTCATTTTTCTTTTCTTCCTTTTCCTTTTTTTAATTTAATTGCTTTCCTACTCTTTCTTTTTTCTCTTTTTTGTTTTTTTTTTTTTTTGAAACAGGATCTCACTACATGCATATACCCGGCTGACCTCCAACTCTAACAGAAATCCGCCTGCCTTTGCTCCCAAGTGCTGAAATTGAAGGTGTGCCCCACCACACCTGGCCTTAAAAGCTTTCTTTCAGAGAGGATATTATCAGCACCAACACAGATGACTTTCAAGACTAGAACTAATGTGCCGAGTGACACACCTGGGAAAGTGGCAGGCATACATCAGAACCTAGGTGCATGTTCTTCATAAGCACTATTCTAGCTTCCATTTGAAGGCTGAGATCAATCTCCAATCCAACTCAAGATGACCCTGTCCTCACCCCAGAGAACGAGAGAACAAGTGCTCTAATTACTTATCCTGTCTACCATAGCCTAAGACAGAATGTACCAATGCATCTTTGAAAATCCCTAAATTGAAATTATAGAATTCAAGGTACAAAGAGAAATTCATAAGATATCCATCATAAAAAGTAGTGTTTACATTATGTAAGAAAATAAATAAATGAAGGTAAGATCATAAAAAAATGAGTTATGACTAGCACTCAAGAGGCAGAAGCAAGCCGGGCGTTGGTGGCGCACGCCTTTAATCCCAGCACTCGGGAGGCAGAGACAGGTGGATCACTGTGAGTTCGAGACCAGCCTGGTCTACTGAGTGAGTTCCAGGACAGGCTCCAAAAAACAATACAGAGAAACCCTGTCTCGAAAAACCAAAAAAAAAAAAAAAAAAAAAAAAAAAAAGAGGCAGAAGCAGGCAGATTTCTTTGAGTTCAAGGTCAGCTTGGTCTTCCAGTATAGCCAGGGCCATTACACAGAGAAACCCTGTCTGGAAAAAAACAAAAACAAAAACAAACATGGGACTGAAGAAATGGCTCAGCAATTAAAACCACTTGCTGTTCTTCCTCCAGGGGACCAAGATTTAATTCCAAGCACCAACATCAGATGACTCACAACTACATGTTAACTCCAGCTCCAAGGTATCTGATTTCCTCTTCTGACTTCTGAACACACACACACACACACACACACACACACACACACACACACCCAACTCTGCCTCCCAAGTGCTGGGATTAAAGACGTGTGCCACCAATGCCCGGCTCACACACAATTTTTTATGAAAAGAATAAAGTTGTGCCAGTAAGATAGCTCAGCCAGTAAAGGTGAATACCTCCAAAACCTGATGACCTGTGTTCTATCCCAGGGACTCACATAAAGGTGAAAAGACAGAGCCAAAACTCTGTAGTCATCCTCTGACCTCCACTCACACTCCATGGAGAATAGAGATAGATAGATAGATAGATAGATAGATAGATAGATAGATAGATAGATAGATAGATAATAGATAGATGATAGATAGATAGATAGATAGATAGATAGATAGATAGATAGATAGATGGATGATAGATAGAATCTTCCTTAAAGATGTGTGAGGGTTGGAAAGCAGTCTCAGAGATTACCAGCAATTGTTCCCCACATGACAGCTCACAAGCATCCACAACTCCAGTTACAAGGGATCTGATGCTTCTTCTGAACTCCAAGAGCACCAGGGACACACGTTGAGTATACACATTCATGTAGGCGAAACTCTCATACACAAAACAAATTTTTAAAAATGTAAAATATATTGCAGTGGAATATTACTTTAACTAAGTAAAGATGTGTTACATTTGTTTTTTTTGGGGGGGGGTTTGGTTTGATTTTGGTTTTGGTTTTTTGAGACAGGGTTTCTCTGTGTAGCTTTGGAGCCTATCCTGGCACTCTCTCTGTAGACCAGGCTGACCTCAAACTCACAGAGATCTACCTGCTTCTGCCTCCAAGAGATGGGACTAAAGGCCTGCGTCACCACTGCCTGGCATGTTACATTTATCTAAGTTGCATTTGTTTAACTATGTAAAGATGTGTTGCTCTGCCTACCTAAGGCACCTGACTGGTCTAATAAAAAGCTGAATGGCCAATAGATAGGCAGAGAAGGGCTAGGCAGAGCTGGCAGGCAGAAAGTATAAGTAGGAAAAGGAATCTAGGCTCAAGAAGAGAGAAGAAAAGAGAAGAGAATTAGAGAGGAAGAGAGGGAGATTCTGGGCCAAACAGACAGATGTGGAGGAAGCAGTGAAAGTAGGACAGACAGAGTTAAAAAAAGGTAAAAGCCCTGCGGCAAAATGCAGATGAAGAGAAACAAGGTAATTTAAGTTATAAGAGCTAGTGGGACAAGCATAAGATCAGACAGACAGAAACAGGCAGCCTCCTTCCTCATTTAATTGTTTTACCTAGATCCTGGCAACAACCACTACTTTCTTAGCATCTGGAAGGTAGAAGCAGAAGGAACAGGAATTCAAAGTCATCCTTAGCTACATAAAAAGTTTGAGGTCCGTCTGGGCTGTATGAGGTCATCTCAAAAAGTATTAATAATAAGCTGGGCAGTGGTAGCACACACCTTTAGTTCAAGCATTTGAGGTCAGCCTGATCTACAGAGTGAGTTCCAAGACAGGCCAGGCTACACAGAGAAACACTGTCTTGTAAATAATAATAATAATAACCTATGATAATCAATATATGATCGTAAGTCTCTGCTATGAAAGCTCACTATTAGTCCTTGAGTTTTGGACTTGAACTCATAGTCCTTGAGCTTTGGACTTGAATTCACTATGTGGCAAAGGATACTGCTAACGTCTGATCCTTCTACCTCCATCTCCCAAGTGGAATTACAGGAATGCACTACCATGATCCCTTGTATATGGTACTAGGTAACAAATCCAAGTGAACACATCGACAGCCCTTACTTGACCATCTCTATTGTTTCTGCTTATTTTTTGAGCAGGGTCCTACTCTGAATCCTACAATGAGCTGTTAACTCAGGTTGGGTCAAACTTGTAATGATTCTCTTGCCTCAGCCTTTTTTTTATTTTATTTATTTTATATGTATGAATGCTTTATTTGCATGTATAGGTGTGTATCTGATGCCCATGGAGGTCAAAAAGTGTCAGATTGCCTGGGACTAGAGTTACGGATGATCGTGAGGTACATTATGGGTTCGGGAATCAAACCTGGGTCCTCTAGAAGAACAACCAGTGTTCATAACCACTGGGCTGGTCATCTCTCCAGGCCTTGCTTCATGCTCTTGAGGGCTGGACTTACATGCCTGGCAGAAGTGGCAAACAGAAAGGTTTGGGGGCGTTGTTCATTGGTTGTTTTGGAGGGGACAGCAACTGTATGCATATGGTGTGCATATGTGTAAGCATATCCACATGCACAGGTGAATACAGGATTCTGATGTGTATGTGTGACTGTGCCTATGGAAGTCAAAGGACATGCCATGTGTCTTCTTCTATCACTTTCTATTCACCTACTGAGGCAGGGTCTTCAGCTAAGCCCAGAGATCACTAATTTGCTAGTCCAGGAGATCCCATTTCTGTCTCTGAGCACTGGGATTACAGACAGGCTGCTGTACCCATCCAGATTTTTTTTAAATATTTTATTTATTTATTGTGTATACAGTCTTCTGCCTGCATGCCAGCAGAGGCCACCTGATCTCATTCAAGGTGGTTTTGAGCCACCATGTGGTTGCTGGGAATTGAACTCAGGACCTCTGAAAGAACAGTCAGTGCTCTTAACCGCTGAGCCATCTCTCCAACCCCCCATCCAGATTTTTAAATGGATGCTGGAGATCCAAAATCCAGTCTTCATGAGTACACAGCAAGCAGTTTATCCACTGAGCCATCTCTCTAGCCCTAGTAAGATTATTTCTGATTAATATTATTTGAACTGGGACTGGGAAGATGGCTCCACGGTTTAAGAGCACTGACTGTTCTTCCAGAGGACCTGGGTTCAATTCCCAGCACCCGTGGCAGCTTACACCTGTCTGTAATTCCAAAATTTGATACCCTCACACAGACACACATGCAGGGAAAACACCAATGCACATAAAATAAATAAATATTTTAAGATCATTTGGGGGGCTGGAGACATGGCTTAGAAGTTAAGAGTATAGGTTGCTTTTCCAGAGGTCCTGAGTTCAATTCCCAGCAACCACAGGGTGGCTCACAACCATCTATAATGAGATCTGGTGCCCTCTTCTGGAGTGCAGGCATACATGCAGGCATATACTGTATACATAAACAAATCTTTTTCTAAAAAAGATTATTTGGACTAAAAAAACACTGAAGAATCAAGGTAGCTCATGCCTATAAATGCAGCACTCAAGAGGGTGTAGCAGGATAGTCACTGCAAGTTTAAGGACAACTTGATCTACACCATCATTTCCAACCCTGACTGAACTGCACAGCAAGACACAGTCTAAAACAAAGCGACAGCCAAAAGACTCAGTGACTGAAAGCACTTTTGCCCGATCCTCAGAAACCACATGGGGAAGGCGCACCATGGTTTGTGTTCTCTTGTGGTCTTGCTCAAGCATACATGTGTATACACAGGGAAATAAACTGATAAACACAACTTGAAATTTTTCTGAAGAAACTGAGTCAATCTAGCTGTGCAAGGTAACAGGCCTTACCATAAAAATCTCATCATACATCAGCACCACTTTTTCCTTTAGTGGTTTTTTTGAGGCTGAGGATTTCCGGAGCAAGCCACCTCGTTTCTCTACTTGTGCCATGGCCAGAGAACCTGTGGAGTAGGATGAGACAGCTTTTAGGACAGAGAAAGTATGAAACCATAATAGAAGACATAAGCTCAGATGCATTTCTTCAAACCCACAGAAGAACCAGCACCAACAATGTACCTAATGTAAACACAGACTCCAGCGGTAAGGATATCAACGTAGACTCCTTAACTCTAACCAATACATAATATGCATGGTGAGATAGCCTGTGGACGTGCATCATCACAGAATGTGTGCACTACCGCCACCACCTTCCTCTCAATTTTACTATGAATCTAAAATGCCTCTAAAAAACTCATTTAAAAAACAAAAGCCAAGGTGGACAGTGGAGGTGCATGCCTTTAGTCCCAGTACTCTGCCTTCGTGAGTTCAAGGCCAGCCTGTCTCAGGACAGTTAGGGGAGGAGGAGGAGGAGGAGGAGGAGGAGGAGGAGGAGGAGGAGGAGGAGGAGGAGGAGGAGGAGGGAGGAGGAGGAGGAGGAGGAGGGAGGAGGAGGAGGAGGAGGAGGAGGAGGAGGAGGAGGAGGAGGAGGAGGAGGAGGAGGAGGAGGGAGGAGGAGGAGGAGGAGGAGGAGGAGGAGGAGGAGGAGGAGGAGGAGGAGGAGGAGGAGGAGGAGGAGGAGGAGGAGGAGGAGGAGGAACAGGAGGAGGGAAAAAAAAGACAGACAAAAGTCAGAGCATTGGTGATTGGTGGCACCTGCCTGTAATCTGGGAGTTGGGGGCAGGGGCAAGAGGATTAAAGGTTCAAGGTCATCCTTAGCTACACAGAATTCAAGGCCAGCCTGAGCTATAAGAAACCCTGCCTTAAAAAACAGAAGGAAGAAAGGGGAGGGAGGGAGGGAGGGAGGGAGGGAGAGAAAGGCGATAGGCAGGGTCAATGCCAGAACACTCTAGGATACTACAGAACCTACTGAAATATCCCTCAATGGGAATATTTTAGAAGGAAGAAATGATAAATAACTATGTTATAGATCTTATACATTAGCTCAATACCCCTTCCCCAGACCGGGTAATGTCAAGACTTAAAATATTACTTGGCCTACAGCACAGTACATTTTAAATCCTTAAAATATACCAGTGGATAAAGCTTAAAGCAGATCTAAAGCCAAATGCGAAAGTGTAACTAGCTCCATCTATAGTAAGTCTGACCACATATTTGAGGGTGACAGAAGGAAGGGTACAAAGCACACAGTGCCCACAGAATGATGGTGCAGTTAAATTTCAAATATTGATCGGGCTTAGGACCATTAGGGCAGGAAGTGTGCTACAGGCTGATGTGCTCTATCGATTTCCCCACATAAGCGGTCCTCATCACTGCGAAGCACTTGGCCTTCACTGCAAACCCATAAATCACACTGCACTTGACGGCCTGCAGTTCTTCTACAAAGAGACTATATCAGCAGAACACAACAGTTAAGAAGTCAAAAATAAATCTTATTTCAAAATGATAATAGACTACTTATCAAACTTCATTGTATATATTTTATTTATAATACTATTGCACATCAAACTCCAACTTACTTCTCGGTTCTACGTAAAAGCAGTTCTAGCATTGTGTCCAAATCTTCCATCTTCCTTCAAGGAAATCTTAATATTTTCAACTGAGACTTGAAATCCCACAGGTCTCCAGTGCAGATTTACACACACTGCCCTCTCACTTCCCTGACTTATTTTTATTATTAACCAAGTTCCCTTGCTCTTAAATTCTGAGCTCTGTGTATAAAATCTAAGTCCATACAATGACAAGTAGCAGGATACTAGAGAAAATCCTCATTTCTTTTCCAGATAAATCCAAAGCAACTGAACTAATTTTGTAAAATGAATTTTGAAAATATACGCTAACTCTCAAATCAAAACCAAAAATTTACTTAAATAAAAGATGCTCCCAAAAATACAAAGCAGTTTAACTTAGATGTCATCTTGCCCTAATACATACAACCAAAAAAGGGAGATTCCCACCTCTGAACATGTACCAAGGACAGGTAACTTCTCCACGCAGGTATTAAATTAAACACGTTTGGCATAAGGACTACATCACATACTTCTCTTAGAAACACCTGGTTCATGGGAAATGCTCAGCAGAGGTTGCTTACCAATTCTGAGAGAAAAAGGAAAGCTTCTCAAAAGTTATAGGTCTGGTCAGACTTGGTGGTACATGTTTGTAATCCAGTTCAGCCTGGGTTATATAAAGTTCCAGGCTAGCCTTAACTACACTGGGAGATTCTGTCTCAAAACTCTGGCCATAGGCTCACCAGATAAGGCACTTGCTATCAAGGCTGAAAACCTTCTTCCATCTCAGGAGCCCATGTGGTAGAAGGAGAGAACCAGCCCACACATACACCATGTGTCCCACGCATCCACACAAGCAAATAGATGTCATAAAAGTATTTAAACTTGGGCCAAGTGTGAAGACTTGCACCTGGAAACCAAACACATAGGAGGACTGTTAAGAGTTCAAGGTCAGGGCTAGAGAGAGATGGCTCATCAGTTAAGAGAACTGGGTTCTGCCGGGCGTTGGTGGCGCACGCCTTTAATCCCGGCACTCGGGAGGCAGAGGCAGGCGGATCTCTGTGAGTTCGAGGCCAGGCTGGTCTACAGAGAGAGTTCCAAGACAGCCTCCAAAACAACAAAGAGAAACCCTGTCTCGAAAAGAGAGAGAGACAGAGAGAGAGAGAGAGAGAGAGAGAGAGAGAGAGAGAGAGAGAACACCTGGGTTCAATCCCCAGCACACACATGGCAGCTCACAATCATCTGTAATTCTGGTTCCAGGGATCTGATGGCCTCCTCTGGCCTCCACAAGCACCAAGCACACAGCTGGTGCACAGAAACATACTCAGGCAATGCATCCAAATACATAAAATAAAATTCAAAGCTAGCTTGGACTACAGAGTGAGACTCTGACTCAACAAACAAAACCCAGAACCCCAGGCGTGATGATACACATTCAGAATTCCAACACTAGGAAGACGCAATAGAAAAAATTAAGAATTCATGATCATTCCCAGTTACGTAGTAGGTTAAAGGCCAGCCTGGCACACACAGGCTCTGAGTTAGATAGTATCACCAACAATAAAAAGTTCTAAATCCAACCTAAAATTTTAGTGAAGACCTCTCTATTATTTCACTAAGCTTTCAAGTTTATTATAATCTAGAGAAAACATAAGAAAAAGAAAAACAGAAGACTCAGTTTCCACTCTATTGATCACGACTTTGCCTTCACGCATGAGATACAGCCTGCTCAAAACAGTCCTGTGTGGCTTAAACAGGTTGTCAAGAGGAAGGTGTCCTTATCTAGGGAAAATAAATTGGAAATCAAGAGAATCCTATTTAAATAAATCACAAACGATGTAATTCTAGTCCGAGTGGATATAGATCTCGTACATGCTCAGCTTCAATGGGCTGGGGAGCAGGATCATCAGCCACCACAAGTCCCTAAGATGTAAAAAGTGCATGTTTACAAACTTCTCCCTAGCAGGATCAATAATTGGGTTACAGCTAATCAATGTCCACTCCAAATCTAATAAACTCTCTCTATTTCAGAATCAATACTTTCTAATAAGCAAAAGGGAACAAAAGAGGAGGGAGAAATAATTCCAATTCAATCTACCAAATTTTCAAAGAAATGGAATTATCTTCATCATTTTCCTTCCACTTGAGGCATGAAGAAATACAGCCAAGGGTCTCAACTCAGCAGTCTCAGTCATCATCACAGGCAGCTGGGAATTTGCCACCCAAACTGCCCAATAAGTGACTTGAAACTGAGACTCCAAAGCCTGCTCCTCCAGCACCCCCGCCCACAGAACCCAGCAAATTGGCCCTTCTGCTGTGGAAGACTATAAGAAATGTACATTTTCACTAGTTTTTCTTTGGATCTCAGAAATTAAAATTACAACTAAACTTGTAATACTGTATCTTGGGGTTGGAAAGATGGCTCAGCAGTTAGCAACACTGGCTACTATTCCACAGGACCCATATTCAACACCCAGCACCCACAAGGCCACTCACAATTGTCTGTAACTTCCATCTCAGAGGAGCCTATGTCCTCTGCTAGACTCCTCAGGCACCAGGCAAACAAACGGTGCATAGACATATACACAAAAATAAGTAAGCCATGAATAGTGGACCACCCCTTCAATCACAGGACTTGAAAGGCAGAGAAAAATGCCAGCCTGGTCTACAAAGCAAGCTCCAGGACAGCCAGGGATGTTACACAGGGAAACTCTGTCTTGGAAAACCAAATAAATAAGTACATAAATAAATAAATGAGCTGTATACTTTAGAAGAGAAAAGTATCTTGGGGTGAAAGATGTGACTCACTCAGTAGAAGGCAGCAGGTTCCTAGTGACCTCGAGGCCGACCCTGACTACCTGAAACACCATGATTCAACCCCAACCCTACCACCACCCCCAGAAAAACAATCAACCTGGGGGGAGTATCTTAAAACACTCTGATCAAAAAAGTTAACAGCAAATCTTTTAAAGTGAGAGAATAAGCCAGATAATGGTGGCACACACCTTTAATCCGGCACTCAGGAGGCAGAAGCAGGCAGATCTCTGTGAATCAAGGCCAGTCTGGTCTACAAAGAGAGTTCCAGGATAGCCAGGGCTGTTACACAAGGAAACCTTATCTTGAAAAAACAAAAATAGAGACTAGAACTGTAGCCTGGAATGTATGGGGCCCTGAGTTCAATTCCTAGCACAATAACAACAACAACAAAAAAGTAAAGGAAAGAAAAAAAGCAATAAAAGTAAATTAATGTAACAATGATTTAGGAACCAAAATATATGCACAGAGAAGGTCATTTATCCATTCAACATATATATATTGAGCATCCTTTAGGTGTCAGGCACCAGGGATGCTGCATAGAATACAACAAAAGAGATGCCTGGGCTGGGCAGTGGTGGTGCATGGCACTCACCTTTAATCCCAGCATTCAGAAGGCACAGGCTAGTGGTTCTCAGGAGTTCAAAGCCAGCCTGATCTACAGAGTGAGTCCCAGAACAGCC